GGATACATATTCATCATGGATACAGTTTCTTTGCAAAAGTGGAGGGATTTTAGTTATTTTTGTTGCAATACGTAAAGATTTGAGCTGTAGAGAATACAAAAAGTGAGTTCTGTGACAAAGTATTGCTTCATTCTGCTGTTTATTTGTTGCAGCTCAGGCCTTTTAAAGTCTTGTTAAAGTCTTATTTTTTTCACTAAGGTCTTAAATTTCGTTAGCTTGTTTTGTTTGTATACTCAATTGAACTGCAGTGCAAACAGGGGGGGGGGGGGGGGAAGTGAAATCATGTAACATCTAACTGGAGTATGCTCAAACAATACTTAGTTTGTCTTGTTAGAATGTTATAAATTATTTTTTGGCCATTTTACAAGCAATGCATACTACTATAAATTAATCTGAATGAGATTTTATAATAATATATTATTTATTATTTATTAGTTATTTAAAGCATTGAGTAATAGTCATTATTAGAATTGGATTTGGCATTTTTCACCCACATAATGGGTGCGATATTGGTCTTAATTTTCATTTAAGTGGTTTTTAAAAAAGTCTTTAAAAAGTCTTAAATTTGGGATAGTCAAACCTGGGGGATACTGTATTAGTTGCATAAAGTAGTTTCTCTATTATCGAGTATTGTATAATTTTTATTGGATAATAGAGATTGCCCTATTGTCAGTGGATGTGTAATGTTGCTTATTTGGGTCAAAGTTTATCTGATCTCTCCCACAATAATGCATGAATTTTAATCTGTCTTTGTGGAAATGTTATTGCTTTGTCTAGAATGTTCAACAGTTCAGATCTGCGGAGAGGCGTCCCTATTCACAGAAGGAATTATTGTATTTTTGAGCAACAGAAACACTCGTAATGAATAAATGTTAGTTGTTTAATGTCATACTGTGGAACATTTGAGGCAAAGACAAGTAGAGAGCAAACCCTCCACAAAAAAAAGCTGCGTAGTGCACCTTTAAATTAGAGCTGAATGAACAGGGAGTAGTAACTGATTTGTAGTGCGTAACCTTGATAATTTGCCAGCCCTATTGTCAGTGGATACTTGTGTTGCTACTTTCACTTATTTTCAGTTAACGTTTCCCCGTCCCTGTGTCGTTAAAATGGTCTCCGTTTGAACTGGAGCACTGCTGTAAAAGTTCAGTGATGTGGAGCCGAGGAGAAGTAGCCGACAGCTGAGACAACCCCGATTTGTTTTCTTGAGCTAATCTCTGCACCATGAAGTCTCCAGAAGGGTGAGTCTCTTTACTTGGAAGTCACTAGATTTGCATGGGGAGAAAAACAGACGAAAAGTAGGTACAATATTGAGCTGTTGGGCGCTAAGTGCTAACAGATGTTGTGTTGTATTGACAGCGATCGTGTCCTGTTCACAGCAGTGAGCAGCGGGTTTATACAAGCTTGTGAGACATTGTTTAATACCGGGAACATATTTAAGGGTATACATAGGATTAATTCAAGCACTGTTTTGTAAATTCTAGTTAGTATATGTTCTAGTATTTTTGGAAACGTTATCCTACTTAACAGAAGAGTCTTGCTGTGTCAAGTATCATAAATGCCATGTGCTCGAAATGAATTGCTTTTGCCGTGAGCACATATGGTTCATGTTAGTGACCCCAAAACCACAGTGTGTGTGTGAACTGGGTCAAGGTTATGACGTTAAAGCCAGGAAGAATACTTTGAAAATGTATTTAGTTACAGAATACCGAGTTGATACTTCGCAGCGATTTCCCTGGGGTTGTGACGCTAACTGTAGGCATATTCTGTCTGAGGTTTGTTAGAGTTTAATCTGAGCTTTCTTTCAACACGATCTGACCACAAAGAACTGGTTTAGTTGGAGCTACAACAGGTGAGATGATTTGTGCTGTTAAAAAATCTCTCACACATAAAATTACAGTCACAAGATATCTAGTATTAGCCAACGTTTTTTCAGTTAGTCACTCTCACCTTTTTGTTGAAAATCAAACACCTAAACAAGACCATGAGCATTTGTCACAGAATTAATCACGAGCTCCTGAAAATGTGTCGTTTAAATCCATTTTGTACTTTTTCTTGAGCTTTCAGACAACCTTTAAAAATGCTTTTGACAGTGCTTTTCCAATGTGCAATGCATTGTCTCACCACGGTAACTGCTGAACATTCAACCATAGAGATTCATGTAAAACACCAACCCCAATGTGATGCCACTACAAAGTATAAATACTTTGTAGTGTCGTATTTTGTTACAGTGTCCCATCATAATACTGTATTCTGAACAATATAATATTATAATGTAAAACCCAGTATTAGAACAGCTTTATATTTGATCTTTTGTTGTTTGTTATGCTTTTATTTATCACTATTTTTAAGGAAGCATGAAGGAAGAAGCACATGTACTCATCACAAGAACAGTAACTTTACCCAAAGGCTGAAGAAGCAAATGTACTCACCACGAGAACAGTAATTTTACCAGAATAGTTTACTCATGTATTTAGTTACTTCACCAACACTAACAGATTTATTTATCACTATTTTTAAGGAAGGATGAAGGAAGAAGTACATGCACTTGCACTCAAGAAGAAGCACATTTTACCAGAATAGGTTACTCATGTATTTAGTTACTTCACCAACACTAACAGATGTCCAAACACAGCTGTCTGGAGACATTTATCTGTAAACTCAGCTTAAATTTGTGGTCCTTCATAAGTCATTGTTTACTAAAAAATGTGTTTAAATCACGTTATAATATAATATTATCGTAAAAAGATATGAAAGTGTTAATTTTTTTGTTTTTGTAACCTGACTCTAGAGTAGGGGTCAGTTTTGTTATCATGCCCCCAGGACTCCGGTGGGATGTCTCTGGGAGGAGCAAACCCACAAAACTTTCCATTGAATATAAAGCCATTAGTGTTTGTGAAGGGGAGGAGCGCAGGACTCTCCCAAAAGGAGCCAGAGCTATTCCTGTCCTCCTCCCCTCGCTTTGGCTTATCCCAGGCATGTCTGGTCATGTCCCCCCATACCGATTGAGTAAGTTCCCAACCAAGAAGTTTCTAATACCATGAATAAACGATCTTTTTAAGGGTGTAGAGCTCGTTTAAAGGTGCACTATGTAACGTTTTGGTTGGGGGCTCGTCACCTCACTTGCTTCTTTCTATGGATATGTCATTTAAGCAGGTCTAACTTATATTTATTAAATTACAGATGGTTTTATAGCTCAAAAATACTGGCATTCTGACTAAGTGGATTTGCCTCTCCACAGATCTAACCTGTAACTTGTTCTGGTTTGGTTTGACAGAAGATAGAAAGGTTTAATGCCATACTGTGAAACATTCCAGATAAAGCAACAACATCTCCATAAAGAAAAGCATTTGCCAGAGCCCCCACCACAAAAGTTATGCAATGCACCTTTAAAGATGAAGCTGTGTTTAGTATCTGAAAATATTTTGTGGCTCTATATTTATAGGGTAGAGGGCATAAATAACTTCTATACTTAATGTTAGTATTATTTGTTTACCATCATTATCCTGCTTTGTGTCAGTGGCTTAAAATAGTTTAAATTTTATAATTTATCTCAATATTTCTCTGCAGCTTCTCAGTTTCAAAATTTGTTATTGTGACAGGCCTAGGGAACACAAAATTAGCAGATTTTGTACCTTTTGCTTTATTTTGTTTTTCACTCTGGTGGAATATAACAAAGTAAACGTAGTAAAGAACTGTACTTAAGTAAAAAATATAGGTATCTGTACTTTAATTAAATATATTTGAAAGTGAATATTCTCTACATTTACTTCATTACATTTGACAGCACGTATCTCTACTTTCTATTGCACTACATTTTTGAGCAGGACTGAAAAATATTTTTTATTATAGTTTGAGACCTGCTGCAAAAGGCTGAGATTGTTAATGTTTTTCACAGTTCATAGTTTGAATGAACAAAAATATCAAAATAAAACTCAAAAATGTAATGACAAATTTCAGCACGAATGTTTATCAAATGCAAAATCTGCACAAAATACCTTACTTTATACACTTAAAGTAAATTTTTAAACAGGTACTTCAATACTTTTCCTTAAGTTTATTTTTTTATGTGACACTTTTACATAATTTTTTTTTGCTCAGGTGTTTTTACTTAAATAACAACATTGAGTTCTTCTACCACCACTGGTCTTTGATGAAAACTTTGTGTTAGTGATTACTTTAGTACAATAACAGTACTATAGTCCCAGATTTTCCTGCATGTTTTTGTTGGCATTATAAAGTTAGTTTACCAATAACAGACTTAGGTCAAAAATTAGGTGCTATTTTATGTTTTGTGTTTATTTTTTGTCATTTTGAAAGTAAAAGTGTCTCTCATTTTGAAAGTGAAAGAACCACATCTCATTCCTCAGGCCCTGCTGTAAAGCTATTTGTGTTTCAATTGAATGATGTAATTAGTCAGTTATTTTTATGGGTGGCATTGCCCCTTCTTGTCAATTGATACCTTGCAGCTAAGGTCATCAACATTCCCTGGGGGTGTGAAGCTGACTGAAAGCACTGCTCCGTCTGAAGCGCTGTTACTCAATTTAGACTTTAATCTCAGCTTTATTTTCACACAACCTGACCAGAAAGAGCTGATTTGGCTGGAACTACAACAGCTGAGATGATCTGTGCACTTAAACAGGACCATCAATGCTCAAATTAACCACAGACTCCTGAAAATGTGTTGTTAAAATCCATTTTGTATTTTCTCTTGAGTTCTCTTGAGTCTTAAAGCATATTTGGCTGTGTTTGCTAATGTTTGTATTGTGTCTTACTGGGAATTGGTGAACTTTCCACCAATGTAGACATGCATAACACCCCCCCACTTGATGTTATAGTAAAATAACAGTTGTATTTATTTTTGGTCATTCTGAAAGCAAAGTCCCCCCTCTCATTTTAAAAGTCATCTCTTTCTACATCAGGCTGTGCTTTAATGCTATTTGTGTTTCAATAGAATTACATAATTAGTCAACCTGATTTTCCTTCTTGTGCCTCTTTTCCAGATTATCCATGAGCTCCGACTTTCCGCACTACAGTTTCAGAATGCCAAATATAGGGTTCCAGAACCTTCCTCTTAATATCTACATCGTGGTGTTTGGGACGGCCATCTTTGTGTTCATCCTCAGCCTCCTCTTCTGCTGCTACTTAATCAGGTCAGATCTGCAAATCCTTCTCACACTTTTATTCCTCTGAGTGGTGTTTGGTGAGTGTCGTACAGACAGTGGTTCAGTCTGTAACATTTCAGTCAGACTAAACCATTTGTAACTGTAATAAAGCACATTTTAACCCTCATCACCAATACCATTTAAATACACACATATATCTAGAAATTATGATTCTTATATTGTATTTTGTATTTATGTAGTTTCAATATCTGATATATTACATACAGCAATACAAAATAATGCAGTTTGAGTTTATTGGAATAAAGCAAAGATATAATAAGATCATATTAGATGGCCAAGGTTGTAAAACTGTAGCATATGCTAATGCTATTGCCCTGCATGACACTCATCAAGTATATGCATTATCATGTTAATTTTGATTTTGACTTTTGGTAAACCTCTTACCTGACGGTAAAAGGGTTCAACAGCACAGTTTGGAGACACTGCTAACAATTTGTGACTTGCATGTCTAAATTATTACCATGGCATTAAAAATGAGTCGTAACCTATTTTTCCGGAAGCAGTTTCATCTTTTAATGTAAGACATAAGAAGCTTCCCTCAAAATTCACCCTGACATGGTAAGTACAGGCTATTTTTGCTTTGTCCCTGCGGAAAGAAAACACCAGATTTGGATGTGGCACCTTGACTCAGTGAAAGCACATTGCCATGTTAATTTACCAAAGAAATAGGGGTCAGATTTCCCCTCAATGCTCCTAAAGATGCAGCCTCCCAAAGGGCCCATCACGTCTGCCAAGGCCATTAGTCATCAGGGCTGTTAGTCACCGTCTAGTACAGTGGTTCTGCCCTTTTGGTGCTCATTATAAAATAAAGGTAGTAGCTCTCTGTTAATGAAGTCTCATATTTATGGTGCCAGAGATCAGATTCAGGGCATGAAACTAAAAATCCCAAAAAGGACCGTCTAGAATACATAATAACTAAGTCATCCATTGTCTGCACTTATGACACTGTAGAGTTATAGTGTATAAGTTAAACAGCAAAGGAGCAGGCCAAGTCAAACAAGATCACGTGCTTGACTTTTGTTATCTTCTCTCTTGTTTTTGAACTCACAATTAGCTCTGGGCCCCTAGTCTCCAGTTCTAAACTTTGGGAGTGTCTGCAGCTTTATCTGCTGGTCTCTTTGAGAATCATGTCAGTTTCTCTCCTAGACTGTGCTGCTTGTTTTACAGATCCCTCTCACTCTGCTGCGAGGGGTTAAGGTTACTTTTAATGGAGGTAAATCTTACAACCTACATGTCTCATATATTTCCTTCCTTCTTTTGCAAAAATGTCTTTCAAAATTAGGCTTTTCTTGTCACCCATCCTTCTATCTTCCGTCCTCATTCAGTTCTTTTGCACTCGGTGTTAGGGTTATTTTGGTCCATCTACACCATCACATTTAGTTGATATTTTACCAGTGCTCTTCTGTGCCTACGGGTCTATCCATTGGGGCTATGGTCTCTTTGGCCTGATGATAGAAGTTATTCTTGTTAATGTGTAACTTGACTTACTATTGCGTTACATAGTAAGCCAAATATGAATAAACCACTGCTAACTAACAGAGCGCAAACCATCCTTTTTTGTTTGTTTACAATCTGGCCCAATACAAAACTTAAATGCCAAAATTAAACCTTTTCTTTGTGTTGTTTTTCTCTTGCAGGGTTTAGGGATAGTTACTTGACCTGGAGGTTTGAATCTCAGTTCTAATCAAGCACTTGTTTTTTGTTTTGTTTTCACAGACTACGGCACCAGGCACACAAAGAACTTTATGCCTACAAACAAGTAAGTATAGAAACCGACCAGGTCATAATGCTTCCTGTAATTTATTTTTACATAACTCTTGTTTTAGTAATAGTACTGTAGTCTGGGTTCAACTGGACGAGGCTGATTCGCACTTTCATTTTCATGTTCTCCAAAATATTCTCGAAACATTGCGTCACACATTTCCCCTTTTAAACGCATGGCCAGTTTGTGTCAAAACAAACATGACATCTTACAAGTAAAAATGAAAGAAACTGATACTTTGCAGTGACATTACACTCAGGGTGTTCTACGTGTATGTCTATGGCGGAATCTTCAGACCATGGAGACACAACGCACGCTTCAGCAAACACAGACAGAAAAGTTTTAAGATGGTCTGAAAAACTCAAGAAAAAAAAAGAAAATGGATTTAAACAGCACATTTTACATGAAAAAGGTGAGAGTATAAGAAAGCTTCAGACAGTGCAGAGCCTTCAGTTAGCGTCACACCCCCAAAGAATGTTGATAGCATCAGCTGCAAAGTATCAATAATTTAAATATGTTATATATATTTATTCTGACTAATACGAGGATATTCCAGTGGAGAACTTATTCCAGATGACTGTGAAAAGTTTTAGTGCCAATGATAATGCTAACTTACTGCCATAGTCATAGAACTGTAGATCTCGCATTGAGGACGGCTGTCTATTGGAATAAACACGTCAACAAAGCCGCCATCTTGGTACTGGGGTAATGCTGCTTTAAATGAATGAACATCAATCAGGGACAAGGTGATAGGTTCAGACCTGGTTTAGTCCTGGTTTAGTCCTGGTTTAGTCCTGGTTTAGGCCTGGTTTAGGCCTGGTTTAGGCCTCCTGGGTTAGTTCGGGATTCAGTCCTGGTTTAGTCCTAGTCCAGTTCTGGTTTAGTCCTGGTTTAGTCCTGTTTTAGACCTGGTTCAGTCCTGGGTCAGTCCGGGGTTCAGTTCTGGTTTATTACTGGTTCAGTCCTTGTTCAATCTTGGTTTAGTCCTAGTTCAGTCCTGTTTCAGTTGTGGTTCAGTCCTGGTTTAGTCCTAGCTTATTACTGGTTCAGTCCTGGTTCAGTCCTGGTTTAGTCCTGGTTTAGTCCTGGTTTATTACTGGTTTAGTCCTGGTTTAGTCCTGGTTCAGTCCTGTTTTAATCCTGGGTCAGACCTGGTTTAGTCCTAGTTCAGTCCTTTTGCAGTCCTGGTACAGTCCGGGTTTAGGTCTCCTGGGACAGTCCGGGGTTCAGAGTTGGTTGAGTCCTCTTTTAGTCCTGGTTCAGTCCTAGTTCAGTCCTGGTTTAGTCCTGGTTTAGTCCTCCTGGTTCAGTTCTGGTTCAGTTCTGGTTTAATCCTGGTTCAGTCCTGATTTAGTCCTCCTGGTTCAGTCCTAGTTTAGTCCTGGTTTAATCCTCCTGGTTCAGTCCTGGTTCAGTCCTGGTTCAGTCCTGGTTTAGTCCTGGTTCAGTCCTTGTTTAGTCCTGGGTTTAGTCATTCTGGGTTTAGAACACACATTTAGTATCATAGCCGAACAAAATAAAGTCTTGCGTATGAAATGTTCTGCTTTGCTCTTTTGTCTTCTTATTCCACTTCAAGTGCGGCATCTTCTCTCGCTGATACTGTTAAAAACCTTAGACCTTACCTTAGACCATGGACCTCCTGAACCAAAATGCCGGCAGTATTAAACGCAAGATCTACCGTTCTGTATCTATGACTTACTCCAAGCAGCTGAACCCATATAGCCCCTGTTCACACGTGTTTGGTTGCTTGAGCTGCGCGTAGACCAGGATGTGAGTGGTCAGACTTGATTGGGGGTAAACATGATGTGAATTTGAGTCGTCTGTTCACGTTAACGTCGTGCGTGAAGATACTTCGAGGTAAAACAGGCATGTCCATAGACTTATGTAACACCAGTAGAGGACAAACCCTGCATCAACACAGCACATTTCTATTTATTTGTCATAGCCTATAACTTATGTAACACTGCAAATCTTATGTGAGCAGAAATGTTAACTGCGTTTTCCCTTAAGGACCATTTGTTCCACATTTATACCTTAAATCACAGTGGCTGACTTTATTATGTTTTTTTTTTTCTAATCCTTTTTAGGTCATCCAAAAGGAAAAGGTCAAAGAGTTAAATTTACATGAGGTAAGTCAAAGTTACATCACTAAAACAGCCTGTGTGTCTTCATATCACGGTTTATTTGTTGCTAAAAACAGAGGGATAAGATTAGCTGCTGCAGTGAGGATTGTGTGAATGAAAACTGAATGTGATGATAGTTATATTTTGGGCCACAAAGTTCACACTGACATGACATCTCTGACAATGGGCCAAGTCATTTTTGCTTAACAAGTGGGTAAAATAAACAACAGTTCTGCGTGGTTTCAAAGAAGGGCTGGACAATTAAACGAAACATCAATATGGTTGGGGTGTGGCGAATGGAGAGCAGCCAGTCCTCTGCCAGTAAAAGCCTGTGGTTTGGAGCAGACTGAAGAATAGATCGACTGATATGGGTGTTTTCATGGCCAACGCTGTTATTAAATTGTTTTGTTTTTTGTATTTATTAAAGACAAAAAACAAAAAATATGACATTAAATAATACAATTACAGACATGAAAACAAGACACAAAAATATAAAATAATATATAAAACAATAAAGCTCCCTGCTATTTACCCCCAAAAACACACACACAAAAAAAGTAAATTAAAAAAATAATAATAATATGTGGTAGTGCAGCATAATCATACTGCTTGGCCCCTTTTTCTTTTGGCCTATTTATAATTTAATTTTCCTTTTTTAACTATGTAACTAATATTATTTTCTCCGTCAGCATTTCTTTTCATATTTTTTTCACTATGACCTTAAAGCATAATTTTGAAGGTATTTTATTCCCCTTTCTTTCCTTTTTTTTTTTTTTTTTTTTTTTATTTTTTTAATATATAAATCCTAGATTGTTTAGAATCCAGTGCCAGCTATGTCTTACAAGCTCTGCCAATATTTTTGCTTTGATTATTTTCCTCATATTATGTATTGTAAATTTACTAGAAACTCACCCCAGACCCTTTTTTATATTTGTTTTTGTTTGTTTTTTTTATCACTAACCCATAAGAGAGCTGTGTAGTCACATTTTGTGCAGTGTTCTGAGTTAAAGTAAAATAAAACTCTGTGTGTATTTTCTGGCAGTAGATCAACCCAAACAAAATACTGGCCTGTGCTGGTGATTTAAGGAAGACAGACAATACACTAAAAAGTTCAAATATGGGCCCAATATGTGTGTGGTTTTTTTTATGTTAAATGGTACAGATGAAAAGCCTGTACTTTTTATGTTCATGAAAAACTAAAAACGCTTGGAGTTTGTTTTGGGAAGACTGAATCAAACAAAATAAAAATTCATGATTGATCAATATGAGGGAAACAAATCATGAGTAATGTTTTTCCCATAACACCAGCCCTTTGTCAAAGTGTAGTAAATCCAGTTCATGTTTCAGTCTTCTGATGGAGTTGTTTATTATGCAGGTTCTGAACAAAACCCTACTTTTTAAACAGATCTAACCGCAATCACAATGTTTGCCAAAAAATTTCAGCTAGACCATTTTCCTAAATTGTGCAAGGAGCTTTTGGTTTTGGAAAGGAATGGAGTGAGCCAACATGTGTGTGAAGTCTAGGGTTGTAAAAGTATCGAAAATCGGGTTCTAAAAACTAGTATGGAAACTTGATACTCATTTGAGCAGGTATCAGTACTACAAAAAAGTCAGATTGCTGTTTTTGTGACTTAAATGTGCATTGTGTAACTTTGTTTTGGGGTCTGTCACCTGCTTGTTTTTATGTAAATGTCACTGCTAGGGCTGGGTGTCATTAAAAAGTTGCTGGTACGATACATACCTCAATACATTGGCCATGATATGATACATATCTTAATACAGTGAACTTTTGATTCAATACGATTTGATACAATATATTTTAAATTGATTTAATATGGTTCAATAAAAAATAAAGGCTAAATCATGGCTGTGATACTAAAAGTCTTTGTTAAACTACTTCTTGTGCCAAATGGAATATGAAACACACCCATTTTAATAATCAAAACGAATCAAAATGTCAAACGTGTTGAATAAACGAGTTTCCTTCTTCTAAACAAGCAACAAAACTGTAGCACTGTAACAAAATAATTTAGTCAAATGCAACAAAAAATACTCATAGCGATATTTCGATAAAGCAGCTCACGAAATCGATACTGTATCATCATATTAAACAATATGATATATAGATATTTAGATATTTTTTGCACACCCCTAGTCACTGCTTTCTCTGGAATGTTCCAGAGTGTGACGTTAAACAGCTCTACCTTACATTTATTAAATTTTAGATGGTTTTATAGTTCAAAAATACTGACCGTGAGTGACGTCGCCTCTCCACAGATCTGACCTGTAACTTTGTTTGGTTGGGTCTCCGTGAAGATAGAAAGGTTTAATCAATACCATACTGCGAAGCATTCCAGACAAAGCAATAACATCTCCATGGAGAAAAGCATTTGAAGGACGCTCCACTAGAAAAGTTACACAATGAACCTTTTGCTCTTTGTTATTGTATTATATTGTGATGTGTGAGCTACTGTGTTCAAATAATTTCCCTTGTGGCTCAATAAAGTCGGTCTAAGTTTAATCCTAATTCACAAGAAGAAGAAATGAACCTTTTCTGAATAGTTTTAGAATGATTTTGAGCTCGTGGCCTTGGTCTCCTCACGGTTGATCGGCTCTCCAGGTTAGAAAGTAACAGGGGCAGTTGATAACGTAGAACAGCCACACTGTTATCTCAATAGAAAACTGCTGGGGGTCTATCTGTTTGACACTCATATGCAAATGAAAGTGACAAAAGCAGGTACGTGTATGCGACTGTGACCGGGAGCGCTGGAATTTCCCACCGGCCCTTGAAGCCGTGCTGTGTGCTGTGTCAGACCCATCCTAAAGCACAATGGGAGTGCACCGAGCTCTATTTGTTTAAGGGCAGTCAATCATTGCAGACACACAAACACTGGGGGAATGACCCACATTACAGGACTACGACGTCAAAGCATCTGTTTGGAGAGATTACTAAAACAAAGTTAAGACAAATGTAGCGTAACCAGGACATTTTGGAAGGTCTTTAAGTTGTTTTTGCCAATGTTAAATAAACAGGTTTAACACATTTCAACAGTGAAAGCTCAAAGGGCTCATATTACACTATTTTCTGATCTATGTTTTAATGTTGTTTCCTTAGTACAAACATACCTGGAGTTGTGTTTTGTTTTATTCACACATGTTTAACACACAAATCCTACATATTTTTAGGTTAACCTCCTCTCAAACAGAAAACACTCCACCTTGTGAAGTGCTCCACTATGTTTTTAAGCTCTGTACACCTTAACAATAATCTTTTGGATAATTTCACCCCAGGAACTACCAATCTACTGAATTAAAGGTACAAGGTGGATGCTAACTTTCTGTTAAAATACCACAACATGACACCACAGAGGATTTTGAGCTTTGTAGATGTAGACAGACTAGTAATAAAGGATTACTCAATCTGTGAATGAAACAAAACACAACTCTGGGTATGTTTTTGAGAAGGTGACAACATTATAACATGGCTTAAAGCTCACAAGATTTGTGTAATTTTGTGTAATATAGGATCTTTAAACAAAGTTCAGATCTTATATAACCAAAACTTTTTGAAAGGTATTTTAGGACCTGTTCACATGAGAATACTTGCGGGTAAAAAGGACAAAATATTTTATCAGAAGTGCCTTTTGTTTAGATGGTGACAGTGTTTTTGGGGCTTAAAAACGCAAACATCTGAAACCACTTTGAAACATTGAATACGCTCCGCCGTAGCGTTTCTGTCTACACCTCCCAAGACGGAAAACTCTGGTCAGATCTGCTAAGGTCACGTATGCGTTTATGTCACATACATCACCACCTAGCCCCCTGGCATGCATACACAATCAAATTCCACACACTTTTGCGTCACCGTTTGCACGCAGATTATCTCCCAAAAACGCTTGTCTAAATGTGGAGTAAAAAGTGAAAACGCGATGCCACTTTTTCATCTTCTGTTCAGACTGTCATCATATAAATGTAGCCTTAAGATGGATGTTTTTGTGCCAATGTTAAATAGATCCCTTAAACAGGTTTCAACAGTCAGCGCTCCACTGTATGTGACACACATAAGGACACACTCTTTCACTCTGCATTCATTAGACAGTGTTTTCTGTTTATTCAGACCAGTGAAGGGCCCTAAAACTCCCCTGCTGCTGTATTCACACTCGCTTGTCCATCTAGTCTTTCTTTAAAAGGTGAGAAACTTTGTGGATGAAGGAGTGAGAGTCTCAGCAAGACAGGAAAAACAGAGGCTGCCAAAATGACAAACTCCCCTATTGAAAGTTGTGGTAACTGTCAGACTCTGGGCACTCACTGGATCCATTTTATCCTTTGTTTTGTGCTGAGTTGTCTTTTCAAAACTGTCTCAGATCAGTTACAGGGAGATCAGATCAATAGTGCCTTACAAAATGACTTGCTAAAAGTGAAGTTATAATTTTTTTCCACAGAATTGATTTTCTTTTATGTGATTTTCAGATCTGTGCTGTGTGCCTGGAGGAGTTCAAACAGAAGGATGAGCTGGGGATTTGTCCGTGCAAACACGCTTTTCATCGAAAGTAAGTGAGCTTTCTGATTTACCCTGTTATGAATTTGAGGTTCTTCAGACTTAGACTTAGACAAACTTTATTGAGGAGTAAGGAAAACAATGCAAAGATGAGAGGCTATGAGTGAGTATGGTATGCAGTCCTGTATCTCTCTCTGTATATTGTCATTTTAACGCCACTAGAAGAAAAAAAAACTTGCCTGTAACCAAATACCATGTCATATTTATGTGTGACATTTTTATGAACCATTCCTAACAAAGACAGAGCGGTTTGCACAGTTTGAGCTCAGCCCGGGCCTCCCTTGCCCCACAAACAGTCCATTTGACTTGTTTGTAGCAGCACGACACCTCCCCTGGCCTACTTTCTACCCACTGGCAGGGAGAGGAGTTTGACCGTGTCTAAACTTTACATAAACATCAACCCTTTAAGCAAAGCCACACAGAGTCTTACACAATCAGCTGCAGGTCACACACCACATCATTAATTATATATTGTAATCGCACTATACAAATGTTACTTGACCGAACTTACTTTACATGTATATATTTATATAGCTACGGCTTTTTTTTTTAGTTTTGTTATCATTTTGCATCATGCCTCACAAGCCACAACACAACTTCCCTACAGCTGGAGGGTGATTCTGCCCCCTGCTGGTTTCGTCTGGACTGGTCCCAAACTCCTCCCCTTGTTATTGTCACTTCACACAAGGGACCCAGTAGAAAGTGGCCATTAGTTTGAGTGAATACAGTTTAGTTTCATTAAAATGTCGCCACAACTCACTCATGTAAGATAAGATTGCTTTTTATTATTATTAAACATATGTTGGTGATGGTAGTGGGCTGAAAGTGTACAGTGTGCAGTGGAAGTGCGTAGTAGGGCTCCGCAGATAATCACAGTCAATGTGGAAATTGCAATTTGAGTTGGAGCAATTATCAAATCGCAAAGGCTGCAATTATTTAGACAATAGACTGTCCTCTGCAAAGAACAGAATACCCTCTTTTTAGAAAAATATTGTCCCTGTAGTTTAGACCTCTATCAAAATGGGATTCTCAGTTTGTCAGTTCATGTTTCAGTCTTCTCAAATGGTAATGCTCCAGTTGTTTATTATGAGTGTTCTGAACATAATCCTACTTTTTAAACGTATATATTGCAAACCTAATCGCAGTCACACTTGCCAGGAAAAATACAACTCAATTATTTTCCTCAATTACACAAGGAGCATTTGGTTTTGGAAAGGAACAAATTGTGCCAACATGTGTGTGAAGTGTAGGGTTGTCAAAGGGATCGAAAAACCGTACTAATCGATACTAAAGCTAGTATCGAAACTAGATACTCATTTGAGCAGGTATCGATACTAAAGAAGTTATATTCACAGGACTGAAGTGAACCTTTCCTGAATAGCTTTAGAGCAGGAGTCTCCTACCTTTTTCCTCCAGTGAGCTACATTTAAAAATGAAAATGCCAGAGAGCTTCTAGTTTTTACAGTCACAAGAAATTGAGTAAATATAAGAGCCACAGTCTTAGAAAAAGTATAGTCCGATGCCTATAAAACATAAACCATTATTAATTGTACAAAGTTAGGCATCAAAATGATACATGCATAATAGTAATAGGCATTTAATTAATAACATTTTGCTTATTGAATACAATACATCTAATTCAGAAATCACTTGGCGATCTTGAGTAGGTGTGCAAAATATAGAAATATCTCTATATATCGTATTGTTTAATGTGATGATACAGTATCGATATCAGGGGCTGCTGTATCAATATATCGCCAAGTGTATTTTTTGGTGTATTTTACTAAATTATTTTGTTACAGAGCTACAGTTTGTTGCTTGTTTAGAGGAAGGAAACTCGTTTATGCAACACATTTGACATTTCACTGTTTTGATGATTAAAATGGGTGTGCTTCAAGTTAACTTTGCGCAAGAAGTGGTTTAACAAAGACTTTAACAAAGCCATGATTTAGCCTTTATTTTTTATTGAACCGTATCAAATCAAAAGCTCACTGTATCGAGATATGTATCGTATCGTGGCCTGTGTATCAAGGTACAGTATGTATCATATCTGCAACTTCTGAATAATACGCAGATCTAATCTTGAGCGGTATCAGAACACACAGACTAGTATACGCCCTGGACCACTGAAGGATTACACAGATATAAGGCCACATGGTAATATAAAAGAAAGTACTTCAATTTAATATAGAAAATCACATTCTATCTAAATAAATTGTGTTTTTTTTATCATTGTAGTATCAGAATCGGTGTTGAGCATTCAGTCTGTTCTTTACTATTGCAATTTAGCTAGAAATTTAAGTATCTTTTTATGCCACAGGTGCCTCATCAAGTGGCTGGAGGTGAGGAAGGTGTGCCCGCTGTGCAACATGCCGGTGCTGCAGCTGGCGCAGCAGGCGGGCACCACGGAGCCCACACAACAGCCCCTGCCTGGCATCGAGAACCTGGTGTAGCCACGCGCGGTGCCCCTACACATCACCACAGTCACAACTACACTGGTCTGACTGAGTGAGAGCCATGACTGAAGATTCACAGTGCTCGTCCCATCACAGTGCTTTAGTTCATAAAGGATTTCCAACACCATCCCTGAAGAGTCCTCATTAAGTTTTTATTTTTGTTTTTTATTCCTTTTTTTTACATGGACGATGAAGAGGAGTTGTTCAAAAGAAGTCTTCATTTTTGGCCAATGTGGTCAATAGTGTTTCACAACCAAAGCACTTTTCTGGGGACACCAGCTAAAGACCAGGAGGAAAGAACACAAAAGCCAAGAACTATGACACATTTTAATTAGCACTTTAAGCGAAGTCGAACCTTAAAATTGCTTGTGAAAGTAGTAACCAAGGTATGTTTTTATTTCCTTTTATAGTACAGAACCACATTGGTTAAACTATTACTTTCGAGAAAATGTCAAAGGGACAGAAAAGTTCAGTTCTTTGTGAGTGGCACAAAGCTGAGAAAATGTGATAAGATTGAATGTGAGACAGCGCAGGCTTTCAACACTATACTCTTTTAAAGGTTACACATCTTGTTCCTTTACATTGTGGTATCTAAAATGTGACTGTTGTTTTTCATCTGTGTTTTAGATCACACGCTGAACAAAATCATTTTTAGTGAGACAGTCTGCCCTCGGGAGTGCTGTGTAGTGCAAAAAGAATGTCATTAAAGGCAATGTAGAGGAGTAATAAGAAGTACAATATTGATACTTTGCAGATCGCGCTGGGGGTGTTCTACATGGATGTCTATTGAGGAATGTTACTATGGTGACGCGATGCACACATTAGCAAATGCTGTCAAAAAAGATGGTCTGAAAAATCAAGAAAAGACACAAAAAATTGATTTAAAAGTACATTTTCAGGAGTGTGCGATCAATACGAGCGTTCATGTTCCTGTTGAGGTGTTTGATTTTCAACAAAAAAGTGAGAGTGAGAGAAAAACTAATGCTTGTGACTGGCAGGTTTTATGTTTGAGAAACTAGTTTAACAGCAAATATCTGCTCACCTGTTGTATTTCCAGCTAAGTCAGCTCTCTCTGGTCAGATTGTCTTAAAACAAAGCTCCGACTATTTTGAGTAACAAAGCATCAGACAGAGCAGTGCCTACAGTTAGCATCACACCCTCAGGAAATGTTGATGACATCGGTTGCAAATTATCAATAGGATGATTATTGCGGGAGGTATCAAATCCCAGTTTTGAAGTTTATTTGCCTTATGTTTTATCTACACATTGATTTACAAAGCAGCCACCCCCCAGTTTGAGGAACCAGGTCTGTGCCATAGACTGTGTAAAGAAGTGGACTAAGAGAGTGTGACGTTACCCAAAACATTCAGCTCCAGTCAAATGAAGCTCATCGATGCTGAAAGTTATAGGAGAGATTTGAAGCCAGTTCCATATTAGAAACTGGAATTGATTTACAGACAAAACTGCAAAATAAAACAGCAAGATCATGTAGAGCGAGTTAATACGAACATTTTAAGACTAAAATGAGGAGCCTGACAGCAGCAGTTACACAGAGAGCGGCGACGCTTTTTCAATATAAAGTCTATTCAAGGCTCTGTTCACTCTTAAGTCACAAACCAGGAAGACATTTGGAAACATGCGATGGCAACTTCCGGTGTAGTTACTGACACTGGGGTCACCTACCGACTAAAAAAACCCAATGAAGTAAAGCATCAACAGTAAAATAAAGACTGCATACATATGTGCAGTTTGGAATCGTCTTCATCTCTTCTAATCTCATGTACCCAGTGCGCTCGGAGTTGTGTGTCAGTGGGGAAATTATGAAAACTGAGTAATGGTTGTAATTGTTGATTAGCCAAACATAACGTAACGCTACAATGACATTTAGATGAAGAAAACTGGGCCATTTGATTTTGTCAGACTTACTACCGCAAACAGAGCCCGCCAGAAGTTGTCATCGCATATTTCCAAACGTCTTCCTGGTTTGTGACGTTAGCGTAACTAGAGCCTATTGAAACCAGAGTCGATGGAGCCGGAAGCGCCCCCACACTCACTCAGCTATGTCCAGTTATATACACAGTCTATGGTCTGTACCCAAAGTGTTTAAATCCATACATGAAAATATATCTACAACTAAATCTGACCAGAATGAAGTCTATCAGTTGCACTTTTTTGTTATCTGCTTGTATTTATTTTGTATTTATTTTGAAATTTGTGGTACATGCCTCCACCACACACCTACACCAGAATTACTGCCTTTGCATATCACTGCACTGGTCAGCATATTTATATATTTGGCCACATAAGAAACCAGACCCTGCCCCGTCCAGTTTACTAGTGCCAGAGGTCAGCAGGTTGATAAAGGCCTTTTGGTTTGCACTGTTGTGGTGCTGTCTCTTCGGTGCATACGACTCTCTGCTACTGACTCCTGTCTTCTTTACTGCAGGTTTGACAAGGTAAAAGTTTCATGGGTGATAGAAGCCGAAATACAAAGTGATCTGATGATAATAAAGGCACAGTCTCCAATCAGATTTTTAGAAACTTCTCAAAAGTGAAAAAATGTGGTAAAAGCAAAGTATGTAAAGTCATTTTTTCTGAATTACAATAGGCCTGTCACGAGAATACCTTTTGAAGATGCATTGCTGAAGAAAATATCAATGATAAACGATAAAATTGAAACAAATTTATCTATAAAAAAATAACAAAAAGAACCCCACAGAGAAGAAGTACAATGAAAAAGTAACTCAATAAATACTGACCCTCAAAAATTATTGTTTCATCTGTCATGTACTGAACGTATCACGTATATCAGGGGTGTCAAACTCAAATTCACAGAGGGTCAAAATTTAAAACTGGGACTTATTCGTGGCCCAAACTAAATATTTATTGAAAAATTTCAACAACATCTGCATGTTTTCTCTTCTTTCGAGATATGTAACGTTAACCTTTTTTAAAATGCTTCTTAAAATAAATGTTTAATAATAGTTTTGGTTAAACATTGAATCCAGAACAAGCATAATATAAAATAATAACACAATTTTTAATAAATAATGTCTATATAGCCTATCTGTTTTAGCCTATTATTATATTGTGGGCCAAATTTGGTCCCTGAGTCTGACATGTCTGATGTATATGAATGATAACGTGATACAGTAATTATCGTGACAGGCCTAAATTATAACCAAACAATGTATTTGAAATTTGAGTTCACCACAAGACCCTAAAAAATATTAACCCTTAATACAGTATGTAATATATCTTCAAATATGTGTGCCTTTTAGCTATTACATGGTCAGAGATGGGGTTGTGCTTTATCAGTTACACGTCTTTGTTTTGAATCGTAGTAATTAGGACAATGTAAAAGCCCGTTTGAACATATCTCGTATTGAATATTCCTTAATCGCCACTTGCGTGCAGTCCATTTTGAGCTACAACTTGAAGAAATCGTTGCTATTTTCACTTCAGAGATACTTAGAGCCTTATCTGAACTAACAGTACAGAGTTATGATGACCTCTATCACCATATTCACATAAAGATACAAGAGAAATTGATATCATTCACTTTCAAGGCTTCCATGTAAGTAGGAACAAAATGCGACAGATAATGGGCCTTTGTCATGTACTCCCAGTAATCTGATTTTATTTCTGTCACTGAAATTGTTCTGTTTTGGCTCCTATTTGTTTCTGAACAGTGTGTTATAACATGTAATTTAAAGGTATATGCTAAGAAAAAAACTACCACTTTTATCGCCACTGAGCGATGTAAAGTAGACAGCTGCATCAGTCGTAGTGTCTAAGGTGCACACAAAAGCCTAAGTAACACTTGGCCTGTCACAATAAGAAATTTTGAAGTGTTTAACTAATTTATCCCACTGACTAGAGATCAACTGAGATGCATTTTTTCGTGGTTGATACTTGGACCATGAAAAATGCAGATATTGAGCTGATAATGTAGAGCCGATTTAGGTATTTTTTTTAAATTCTCAAATTAAAATATAGTACAAACTAAAGACCGCCACACACTAAAGGAGAATTTGCGTGATTTTGGCTGCGATTTCAGGGAGTTCAGAGAGGCATGACCCGACTTTGTGTCTTCGTGTGCGATTTTGAAGCCGCTGTGGTCTTCATGTGATGTGTCAGTGTGACTCTGAGCTGCTCTGTCATATCGTAACCACCAAACATCAGCAGCGCAACAGCAACAGAGAGTAAAAACAGAGCATCAGGGGCAGAGGAGTGACAAAACACAGAGGCGAAAGATACAAACTCAGGAAATAGCAAGTTGTAAATTTAAACTGTAGCATCTCTTCCATATTCTCCTTAGAATTCGCCCAGCGCAAATAATGACACCCAGTCCACAAAACGGGGCTATTAATCGAGTTTGAAGCAGTTTTTTAAAAGTAAAAAGGTGAGAGTAGTTCCTCATGTTTGTCAGTTTACATCCACACAGTGCACGGATCGAGGTGAAACTGCAGATTAGTGATAGTGACTCTACTTCCTGTGTACTTTATCTCCAATCTTTTATGCTTTAAAATTCATGTATCTGAAGTATTGCACTGCATTTCACAAATAATAACAACACAGGTTTGACTTTTATCTAAACTAGGAGTGCAGTGCTGTGATCTTTAGAACACTTAAGAATATGAAAGCGAGACATTTTACTGTAGACAGGAAACAGCTGATGCAATCATGCTCACAACTTTATATCCTGTGGTCTGCGGACATATCCCACTGTAGTCCTTGCGATCAGAGATTTTAAGTTTCACAAGATTCTCCTCGTGTCTGTGGTGTGTGCACTTTTTGTCGCACGTTTAAAAATCGTTTAAGACCGAAAAATCCTGTTGTGTGTGGTGGCCTTAATCCTCAACTTTCTTTTACTGCAAACTGTGTAGAGCAGTACCCTCTTTGGACTAAAGTGTTCAAATAAAGCTTTATGATATGTTCCTAACGCATATTTAGCCGGCTGGTTTGCTCAAATTAAATATTGGCCTCTGATGGAGATTTAAGGCCAAAAGTGCAAATGTCGGCTCAATATATCAGCCTATCTTTATCACTGACACATAAACCACAAAAACAATGAACTTTAGTACACTTAAGTAAATGTTTGCATCTGTAATTAGTCATAGACGTTATTCATTCAACCCTCCACAGCTCAAATCTGACCATATAGCCAGAAGAAAAAGTACAAACAATAAATATTGAGTCCCAAAATATAGTGTTCCACCTTTCATACACTGAAGTCGATATTGTAATTATCGTGACAGGCCTAGGTAACTCTTTTGCATTGTTAAGTGTCTGATCATGAACGGTGCATCTCTCCCTGTTCTGTTTCTTCCTCTGTGTTTTCCGTCCAGCACCTTGTTAAAAGTGCCAATCTAAAAACTATAAACAAGTGTTAGGAATCAATGAATCAATGCTCCTGCCATTTCGGAAACATCCTGGTATCACAGTTGACGCATCTGCCAGATACAGAGGCAAATAACGCAGAAGAATGAGAGCGAGGCATTCATGACTCGTAATGTCCCCACTTACTGATAAATGCCGATTGACGTCAGCACCGCTCCTGAGTTAACTCCTTTATAAATAGACCAGACACGTCCAGAGAAAAAGCAACCGTCAAATCCACATCAAACATTGAGTCAGAGCTGTTACAATAGCATCACTCTGAGTCTCACTGCCCCTATCTTCCTTTTCTCTGTCTGTACTGATATTTATTCCTGTGTATTCCTGTAACATCTCTCTCTTAATCTCCTCTGTACCAAGACCTCATTTGTTAACACTGATTCTGTTTGTGAGCTTTCACAGACATTGTTTATAAAACTAAGAATTCTGCAGCAGAATATTTTTGGAAATTTCTGTACAGTATTTGTAAGCTCTATTTTTGTATATTGGAATTTTGGAGAAAATAATATTCATTATTTTTTTCTTTTTTGTTTTGCTAATTTCATGTCTATTCATTTTGAGAAAATGTTGCATGTGACTGACTTGAACTGTAAATAAAGTTTCCACGATTTGGAAAAGAACAAAGTACGAGTGACTCTTGCTTTATTGTGTACTGAATTATTCATAGATTCATTATTTTGGGAACATTTGAGCACCTGTAATTTCAAATGTGTTCAACAGCACCACCTAGTGTACACAAAAAGGCAAGTCTTAAAACTATAACTCTTCAAATTGTTCATTTCCAAAAGTGTGCGCCAAAAAAAAAAAAGCCAAGCCCCATAGTTGAATCAGAATGAGTTTTATTACCAATGCCGGTGCTTCAGTGTTATGGTGCAACATAAAACAGAATAATAACGAAATAATAATGTTAACTATGATAAAATAAAAATAAGGTAAAAATAGACATTGATATCACATTCTTAAATGGCTATAAAGGTTAGTTTGTGGGTAAACAGATGTGAAGTGTTTTGCTATAACCATGAAAATTTAGATTTGAGGTTAATTTATAATGTAATTGTTTTATCTCAAGATTGGGTTTGTATGTAGTCTGTTGTTTCCTGTGTACTGCATACTGGTTTTCTCATTCTCGGTAACATGACTATCAAGTCCAATGTTTTGTTTTGTTTTTTTTTAAATTAGGAATAAATCAGCATTATAATTATTATCAGTAAACATTATAATTGATTTGAACATAGTTACTCGTATCTGGGGACTCAAGATTGGTCAAGTTAATACAATTTAAAACCAAAATCTTGCATACAATTACTTGAAACTAACTGCACGAGACTGGTTAAGACGACAACTTAATCCAGACTTAAGTTAAGATGAAAAATGTCTGACTTAGTCATGTCATGAACAGTTGGAGACATTTCCACATTGACACAATGGTAATGTTCTGTCTCACAGTGTCATTTTGATCCATGGCTGAGTGATGAAGGCATCTGTAAGAACATAAATCAAACTCACCACAAAGCAACAGCTGAGTCATTTTAACAGAATATTTGATTGATCAGTTTAAAAAGGCGGTACAAATGGAACTGTTTGATAATATGACATTTTAATTATAATACAACACAGATTGAACTCAATGTATCATTCAAATTATATAAATCTGTCAACACTTGAGTTGCCTATTACAACTTATATGTAACAGGCCTATTACAAATATCCAGAGGATCCTCCCGTCACACATTTCATTTAGTTAAATTGGCTCAAATAGGCCTACAGTTCATTATGAGAATCAAGTCATGTGCCTTCTACTTCTGAGGGTTGTACATAAATAAGTTTAGGTCATATTTTACAGAGAGTCTCCCACAGAGATCACAGCATCAGGGTCTTTAGGAGCAAAGCAATGAAGAGGCCCACTGCCACACTGTGGGGGTACAGGAGTCCGACGGGAGCGGGGGCTGCGCTCGTGCTGTTTGTCCCATTTGTGACCACTGCACCAGTTGTGACCACAGCAACGGTTGTGACAGCTCCCGTTGCCGCTCCAGTTGCCGCTCCTGTTGCCGCACCCGTAGCCGCACCTGTTTCCGCACCAGTAGCTGCACCAGTAGCTGCACCAGTGGCTGCGCCTGTTGCTGCACCAGTAGCTGCGCCTGTTGCTGCTCCAGTTGCTGCTCCAGTTGCCGCTCCAGTTGCTGCTCCTGTAGCCGCACCCGTAGCTGCACCTGTAGCTGCACCTGTAGCTGCACCTGTAGCACCTGTAGCCGCACCCGTTGCTGCTCCTGTAGCTGCACCTGTAGCTGCACCTGTAGCTGCACCTGTAGCTGCACCTGTAGCCGCACCCGTTGCTGCACCTGTTGCTGCACCCGTTGCTGCACCTGTTGCCGCTGCAGTGGTGGCTGCGGTTCTGACTTCGATCTGGGCCTTAGAAGATGCTTTAATAAGAAAGACACAATTATTGCAATGAACCTGACCTTAAGCACCATTACCACCATTCGGTCTGATTTAGCCCCACGGTCGGACGGCCTTCCTGGACTTTTCAAGAACGTACAAATTGCCAGTCCGCCCCTGCTTTGAAGCTGAAATGGACCATGGTGTTGGCTTTTTTATTATGGTAATTTATGCACTTGCATTTTAAATGATTCATGCATGTTTGAGTAATGCTGCACATTAGAACCACTGAACGTACCCCCTATCCCCGACCACTGCTCTGCGCTGAATTCAGACTCTGGATCATTCATGGTTAAAAAAAAATGTGACAGCCATTTTTCATAAATAAAAATCTCCTGTTTTTTTTTTTTTTCATTGAAACGCCTCTATAAAGAGATGGGCCTCTTGGTTCTGTAGTTTTGAACAGGAAGTAAATGGACCTCATTTAAATTATAAAGTAATTTTAGATCAGTATTGTGGTTTACAATCAACTAGATCATTATTGCTTATGTTATAACTTATACCAAAAAAGCATAATATGTCACAACACAAGTTTGAGGTCAAACTATGTGTTTATGCCCTCCACACTCTTTCCCAAAACTGTCCTGTCATTTAGAAAAATACCTTAAAAATATTATCCATAGACTGAAGATAAATGAATAAAAGACTCACCAAAAATCAGCAATGAAATAAAAATTATCGACAGCATTGTGGAAGTTTTTGACACCTGCAAGGAAAGACAAGATTATATTCCATTAGTGCTAAACCTCAGACACTCAAAGTTGTTTTACATTTCGAGCATCATTCTCTTTCCAAACTTACCAAATGTTCAGCGACTGTTGCTCCTTTTAAAATCTGAGAAAGCTCACTCCACAAAGTCCACCTGTGCCTATGTCCTAGAACACACCAGGCCCGTTTTATATGGTTCTGTTACACACATATGACTAATGATGTAAAAACCCAACCTTGAATTTCCACGGGACTATCATTCCATCCACAGTGATCACAGCAGGGTGGTTTTGCCTGTTTTTTGACACTTTGAAATGTCTAAGTTATAGGGAATTCACAAAGCAAACAGGCTGTGATGCTCGTGAGGATTGGCTGAGCTCTGTTTTACAATAAGAGCACTGTTGTACCTGGTGGTGGCATTATTTGCTTGTGAACAATGCATGTCACAAATAAAAATGAGAGGTCTAAAAGAAGATGAGAAGAGTGTGCTTTTGTATTCTGCAGGTATCATGGGTTCACGCTGACTCAAACCAGGTCTTGTGACGGTGACACTAAGCTAATAACTTTTGACAAAAACATAACGAAGTCAATCTAAAAATATATTTCACTCTTTGGTCAGGAAATATGATCTTTCATGCACTTAAGTGACCTCCAAGTCACGCACTGTGTAACTTTTCTGGAGGAGGGTCAGTCCTCTTTGTCTCGTGTATTCCTTATTTACTGCCATTTTATGGTTTTGATGGTTTTGCTTTTATTTTATTTGACTGGTTTAACTGTTTTACGATGACATTTTAGCATTTGACCTTTTTGTTGTCTTCATTTTATTGATCTCTGTGCAGCACTTTGTAAAATGTGCTATATCAATCAAGTGTATTTGGATTCTACTGTATGGCATTAAACACGACTAATTTGCATTTATTAAATTATAGACGTTATTATTGCTCAAAAGTAAGACAGAAAACATGAATTTTCACTAGGAGCAGGGTCACCATTCCACAGACCTGACCTGTAACTTGTCCTGGCAATGTTACTTCCTTGTTTCCATGAAAATAGAAATATTTAATGCCTTACATGCCAGGCAAAGCAATTATATCTTTATAGGAACAAGCAGGTGATGGGCCCTACTGTACATCATAGTGCACGTTTAAAATATTTCTATGCCTTGATAACTTAAAGATGCACTGTGTAACTTTTCTGGTAGAGCATCCATCTGTCTGGGATGTTCTACAGTATGGCCTTGCACTTTATCTCCATGGAGACAAAAGCAGGACACCACAAGGTCAAGTTACATGTCCAATCTGTGGAGAGGCAAGCCAACTCAAAGTAAAAATGCAAGTTTTTAGGTCCACAACACCCCATGTTATTCAGTAAATGCAAGATGAATATGTTCGATGCCGTACGCAAACGTTTCAGACAAAACAGTAACATCTCCATGGAGACAAGCAGGTGGCAGACACTCCACCAGCAAAGTTACACAGTGCACCTTTAACTTTATACTTAAATTGTAAGGTATCATGCCAGTATCACTGTGATGAGCATAAAGGTTGGAATAAACTTTGCAGCACTGTATTAATGGAACATACAAACCAATCGTGTACGAGTTAAGCCACCCACGTGACGCTACTTAGTCTATCAAATCTGTGCATTCAAGGCGATTGCAAGGATGAATGCAGACACAAAGGAAAGAGGTTTTGAGATCTGTTGAAAAATGTAAAGAAAGTTGTGAAATCGAGATGTGAAAGGTAAAGAAAAAGGGAAACTTTAGCTGCTATTTTTTTCTGAAATGAAGCACTTTGTTTTAAGATGCATAATTTACGGTATTTTATTTTCTCTAAATCATTTTAAACTGCAGCCCTCCACCTAATGTAGGTCTACTGTGTGTTTCAGTGTTAACAATATTTTTTCTTGAAATATTTTTGTACTGTATTGTTCAAATATTCAGACACTGATAAAAGTAGGCTACTTCTGTATCACAATCTTAACACCGGTTAGCCTTTATGATGTCCGGGACCTCTGCTTAAGGAGATTTTCTCTAACTGGACCTTCTCAAATTTTAGTTGAATACCCCTGGAATACAAGAAAGTGAAAGATAATGTGGTCATATAGAGGTTTAATTTACAGTATAGAAGCATCCATACATCCATGTCTCAGCATTGGGGCGAATGTCTATGATTCTTAAAGATCCGATATTACACAAAATTTATTCTTGTGAGTTTTTAACCAGAATGCTGTTACGTCTCCAAAAAACTACTTGGAGTTGTGTTTTGTTTTTATTCACACATCTTTGAGTAATTCTTTATTATTAGTCTGTCTACATCTCCAAAGCTCAAAATGTTCTGTTCCACCCTGTGTCATGAGGCAGTTTTGAAGTTAACAGCTACATTTTACCTTTCGTTCAATAAAGATACAATTCAATACAGGGCTGAAATTAACCAAATGATTCTAGTGAAGGTGTATGGAGTTTAAAAACACACTAGAGCACCTCCTGTAATACCACATAACATCACAAGGTGGAACATAGGGTTTTTGTTTGAGAGAAGAACACAGCTCCACGTATCTTTTGATGAGGAAACATTATAACATAGATCAGTACTGGTCAAAATCTTCTACACTTCATCCTTTAGGTCACAATTGAACCAGGGGGACCTTCTTTTACACTTTTGGGGGTCTTGGATTTGGTGTTCTGATTACTGTCCTTTGATTTTTGCAGCAGGGTCAGGGTGTCTCTCTTCTCAATCCTTCTCAAATGTTTCTTCTTCATTCTCTTAATTTTGTTTGTATTTCGGATCTGAAGAAGAAAACAGATATTTTTTTTAAAACTTTATAGAAATGCATGGCTTACTAATGGTGGAAAAAAAATACACTTTTGCTGTACATACCACTTGAACTATCTCAGCTTTGCGTTCATTCTCCGCACGTCTCTTCAAGTTTTCTTCTCTCCTCTTCCTCTTATCCTTTTGTCAACAAACAGAAGATGGTCACCAAATAGAAAAGGTACAACACTTACAAAAGTAGCACACATTTATTTGAGGTAGGGTTGTCAAAAGTATCGAAAATCAGACACTAATCGCTACTAAAACTAGTATTGAAACTAGATGCTTATTTGATCACATATCGATATTAAAATGTCACATTCACAGGACAGAAATGAACCTTTCCTGAACAGCTTTAGAATGATCTTGAGCTGTGTCAGAACAAGTATTAAGACCCCACAGACCCCATAGAAGTATGAAAAAAGGACAGATATAAGACCACATGGTAATATAAAAGAAAGTACAATGATTTAATGTGGAAAATTACATTCTATTATCTAAATAAAGAGTGTTTTTATTGTCATTTTGGTATCTGAATCTGTATTAAGTCTATTGAGTCTATTCTATAGTTCTTGAAATGGAGATGGAAGTTTTAATGTCATGACAACACTAATTTGAGACATTTTACCTCTTTCTGTCGTGCTTTCTCATCCTTCAGCTGCTGAGAATACTGTTTGATGAGGTCCTTCTCTCGTTTGGCCTGCATCTTCTTCTCCCAGGAACTACACAGCTGTTTATCCCTGACCACCGCAGAGAACCTGGGCAGACACAAAAGATACTTTTCAGCTGAAGCTTTAAACATATTTGCAAGATTAAAAGTAGCTGTCAAAATTCACATGTATTGCATATTTTATACACAGCATGTTCTCTTTAATTTGTGTGATATTACAACAAAGCAGTAATGTATCAACCTACTGTTTTCTGTGTTTTGTTTTTCTCTCTTCTAAGTGCTACACTGTGTTCTAGGGGTGTGCAAAAATATGAAAATATCAATATATCGTATCATTTAATGTGATGATACAGTATCGATATTGTGGGCTGCTTGATATATATTGCCAAGAGTACTTTTGTATATTTTACTAAATTATTTTGATAAAGTGCTACAGTTTTGTTGTTTGGTTAGAGGAAAGAAACTCACTTTTGCAACACATTTGACATTTTCACAGTTTTGATGATTAAAATGTTTGTGTTTCATATGAACTTTGCATAAGAAATGGTTTAACAAAGACTTTTAGTATCACAGCCATGATATAGCCTTTATTTTTTACTGAACCGTATAGAATTGATTTCAAATATATCATATTGAATAGTATCGAACTGAAACCTCACTGTATCGAGATATGTATCGTATCGTGGCCTGTGTATCGAGGTATGTATCGTATCGGCAACTTCTTAATGATACCCAGCTCTAGTGGTCAGCAAGTTCTTCTGCAACCACATCTGCCCTGAGGTGGAGGTCAACTAGCAACAATCACCACACAAATTTATCCAAGGTGAGTGAAGTGTCTTGCCTTGAGACACAACAACACAGCTCGATCTGAGTGAGAATCTGTCTTCTCACCTACAGGTTACGGGAATGCTCTAACCCAGGGGTCTCCAACATTTTTCCTCTGGTAAGCTACATTTATGAAATGAAAATGTCAGAGAGCTACTAATTTTAGCGGTCGCAAGAAATTGAGAAAGCAGAAGAGCTATGGCAAGCTTTTCACAGGGTACAGTTAGATGTCTACTAATTAGGGCTGGGTGTCATTCAGAAGTTGGCGATTCGATACATACCTCGATACATAGGCCACGATACAATACATATCTCGATACAGTGAACTTTCGATTTGATATGATACAATACAATATATTTCAAATCAATTTGATATGGTTCAGTAAAAAATAAAGCCTAAATGATGGCTGTGATACTAAAAGTCTTTGTTAAAGCACTTCATGTGCAAAGTTAATACGAAGCACAAACATTTTAATTGTCAAAACCGTGAAATGAACCATGAATGTGTCGTATAAATGAGTTTCCTTCCTCTTAACAAGCAACACTGTAAGAAAATAATTTAGTAAAATATGCCAAAAAATACTCTTGGTGATATATTGATACAGCAGTCCACTATATCAGTTCTGTATCATCACATTAAATGATACGATATATCGATATTTCAATATTTTTGCACACCCCTACTATTAATCATAAACCATTATCCATTTATTAGTGCACAAGTTAGGCATCAAAATTATACTTTTACAATGATACATAGTCAAACAAACATAGTCAGAATTCAGAAATCCTTTGGTGAGCTACTTGGAAGGGGGTGGAGAGCTGGAGGTTTACAAAGTTTACACACATTTGCCAGGATCTATAGCTAGGACTAAAACCAGGTCTAAATGAGGATTAAACCAGGACTAAAACAAGGTCTAAAAACAGGTCTAAATCAGGTCTAAATCAGGTCTAAAACCAGGTCTAAATCAGGACTAAAAACCAGGTCTAAAAACAGGTCTAAAACAGGTCTAAATCAGGTCTAAAAACAGGTCTAAATCAGGTCTAAAAAACAGGTCTAAAAACAGGTCTAAACCAGGACTAAAACCAGGACTAAAAACAGGACTAAAACCAGGTCTAAATCAGGTCTAAACCAGGGCTAAAACCAGGTCTAAACCAGGACTAAACCAGGACTAAACCAGGACTAAACCAGGACTAAAACAGGATTTAACAGGACTAAACCATGCTGCGCGGACCGTGACTCCTCCTCTTCCATCAACAATATTTTTTAATTTGGTTAAGGAAAGACTGGGCTTTTTATTGTCTTTTAAGAGACAAAACATCTTATTTGAAGATATCCTGGTTTTTGCTTCTCTACAGAAAATCAAGTAATCCAAAGTATTCAGACTACGTTACTCACTTGAAGTAATTTAATGGATTACGTTACAAACTACATTTTGGGGTATGTAATCTGTAATATGTAGGGGAATACATTTTAAAAGTCACCTTCCCAACACTGAACGTGTGCACCTGGGCCTTTTACCTTTGCTTGTTGCGATCTTTCCACACTCTTCCAGATTTGGGTTTTCCCAGTGGGATTGTCGGGGCCTGTTTGACAGTCGGGGCCAGTCGGGGTTTCTTCTTTGGGGCCGTGCGTTCATCTGCGTTGGAAGGAGGCATTTCTTTAGCCTTACATGTGCTCTCCTCTTCGTGTTTTACGTTGTCATTTTCAGCACTTGCAGTTTGTGTTTCGGGCTCAGGTTCTGTGGCAGGTTCAGCTTCACAAACTCGGGCACTTTCCTCCACGACTTCAGGGATTTCTGGTTTCTTCTCCTCTTCTTTTGTATTTTCATCCACTGCGGGTATTTCCTGGAGCACTGACCGTCGTGTCCTGCGGGTGGGTGTTTTTACTGGGGGCACAGAGTCCTGAAAAGAGGAAGGAGGGCGCACTCTGCGGCCGCTGCGAGTCCGCCGGGTGTCCACCTCCTCCGGAGCCTCCTGCTGGGACATTTCTGGTTCAATTTCGGGATCAGGCGTCGGTGCTTCCTCTACCGCAGCTTTATGCCTCCTCGGCTTTTCCAATAATGACAATATAACGCAATTAATTCACTCTTCAGCAGAAAAACTCCAACTCCTGGTCCCACGTGTGTTGTCAGCGTGGAGCAGATCACTTCCGCTTTCAAACCGGTAAACAATAAAATGTACGAGCGTTGCCCCCTGCTGGTCAGGAGGAAGCTACTACAACGCTAACTTGTCTTATCCATCTAGAACAAACTGTGCCATTTTGATATGCTGTTATTTTCTCTTTTTTATGCATGTATTTATTTTCAGTTTAACTTGATATTTATATATAGGCGCTCTTTTTATCTGTGTTTGGAAATTCGCTATTTAAAAATGTGTTATGTATATATTTGTATAGTAAGTAAAGTATAGTATATATATTTTTATAGTAAATAAAACTGTCAAGGGACTAGGGGTGTGCAAAAATATTGAAATATCAATATATCGTATATTTAAATGTGAATATACAATATTGATATCATGGGCTGCTGATATTGATTGCCTTGAGTATTTTTTGGTGTATTTTGCAAAATTATTTTGTTACAGCGCTACATTTGTGTTGTTTGTTCAGAGGAAGGAAACTTTTTCATGCAACATATTTGACATTTTCACTGTTTTGATGATTAACTTTGCACAAGAAGCGATTTACATGAGTTGCCATAAGTTACTAAGGCTTTATTTTATATTTAATCGTATCGAATCGATTTGAAATATATCAAATCGAAAGCTCACTGTATCGAGATAAGTATCGTATTGTGGCCTGTGTATTGAGGTATGTATCGTATCGGCAACCTCTTAATAATACCCAGCTCTACAAGGGACTATATAAAATAATAAAATAACCATGGCTTAATAACCCTAATAAATAAATAAATAAATAAATAAATAACCCTCTTATGTCATTCATATCCTTTCCAACCAAGCTCGTATTCAACTGGGAGACAAAATGTTCAATAAATCCAACAGGCTGTATGTCCAATAGCCTCTCCATTGTAAAATAACTAAACAAAGACATACTACACATACAATAATAGGTCCACGCGTGTGATTTGGGGACAAATTTTGACAAAACACTGCCCTCTTGTGGTCTTTTCTCCTAGTAAAATGTATGTCACGTGATTCCACATCCGGACCACATGACACGCTCTCGTTTAAAACAACCCAAATATAAGGAAGTAAGAGTTTTTACTTTGTTTGCCATGTTCAAGTAGGTTATTATTATTATTGACCAGGACGGCTTCATGAGTGGAGTCAGCATGTCCATGTTAATAGGAAACCTGCTTCTTCTGCTGATGCTGTGTGGAGCTTCAGTAAGTAGCTGCATTTTCTTCTCATTTCCTTCAATACAATGTGATCTATTTGCTAGTTGGTTCTACAATTACAATCATACAATAAATAAACATGCAGAATCACATTAAAGATGCACTCCACAGAGATGTTATTGCTTTGTCTGGAATATGTCACAGTATGGCATTAAACTTATCTGTGGCAAAGGTGTTTTAGTGAGAAAAAACAAACAAACAAACAAACTTGAGAGACATGCATTCTTATAGTGAGAGAGGAAGGTTGAGATTTGACCTGTAACTTGGTCCATGGTGTCACCTGCTCCATGGGGTTACAGTGCACATTTAAAGGTCCTATATTACACAAAATGGATTATTGTTAGAATCTTATCTCATCAAAAACATTGTAGTATGAAGAGTTGTGTTTTGTTTCATTCACATGTTTGAGTAATGCTTTATTATTTGTCTGTCTACATCTCCAAAGCTCAAAACTTTACCTTTTATTCAGTAGAGATTGGCAATTTCTAGGCTGAAATTATTTACATGATTCTAATGAAGGTGATAGAGTTTAAAAACACAATTGAGAACTTTCTGTACTGGAACAATGTGTTTGAGAGTAGAATTTGTAAATATGCAAGGTATGTGTTAAACATGCATGAATGAAACAAAACACAATTCCAGGTTTGTTTGTGATAAGGAATCAACCTTATAACATACACCAGAAAATGAGATTAAAGAAAATATAGGCTTTTTCATTTCCTTGGCATGAAGTTTATTCGCAGAAATGATAACAATTAATTTAGGTGAGTTTGAAACCAGTTTGACAAAATCCAAATCACGAGATCAACAGTTTGAAGTATGCGAAGGGAACCACGGACACTTCAGAGACACAGTGTGATTATGATGACACAGAATCACCTGATGTCAGCCATGCGCCATAAAGACAAATCTGAGAAACACTCTGTACCACTTAATCTACAGTCTATAAATTATATAATGTATTTTGTTGAGGGTGCTTTAAATTTGCTGTGTCCCTGCAGATTGGAGCACCCAGGACGTTCTCTGTGGATTACCAAAAGAACTGTTTTCGGAAAGATGGGCAGCCTTTTCGATACATATCAGGAAGTATTCATTACAACAGAATTCCCAGAGTTTACTGGAAGGACCGGCTGCTCAAGATGTACATGGCTGGTCTGAACGCAATCCAGACGTATGTTGACCCTCTCGTGCTCGTGAAATTTTGGATTTTGAAGGATGAAGGATTTAGGGTTTAGGAACATGTAACAGTACCTCTCAATTTTGCACTAGAACTTTCTGAACTTGTCTCCTGCTTTGTGATTTATTTTGAACATTTATTTCTAAATTACTCATATAAAATTCACATTAAATAATACAAGAAATAATAATAAAATAATAAAAAAAATAATAATACAATTAATCCCTTAAAACAGCAGTGCAACACAGCAATAGAAATGAGATAATAAATTTGTACTTTTTAAGATAGAAGCTGTACAATGATTTTTACCTTTTATAATTCTTGCAAAACAAAACAAAAATGCTTAAATAATGCATTTTATTGGAGAATACTGATATTCACACTTAACAGGTTCTATATTACACAAAATTTACTCTTGTGAGTGTTATAAAGTCATGATATAATGCATCAAAAACATATCCGGAGTTGTGTTTTGTTTTATTCACATGGGTTTGAGTAACCATTTATTATTAGTCAGAAATCATCCAAATGATTCTAGTGAAGGCGTAGAAACTTCAAAAATAGAATGGAGCACTTCCTGAATAACCACATGACATCATGTGCATGTTTGAGAAGAACTGAGTCTAAATATGCAGGTTTTGTGTGTAAAACATGTGTGAACGAAACTAAATACAACTCCAGATATGTTTTTGATGAATAGACAACATTACAACATCAGAAAATAGTGTAATATGGGCCTTTTAAGTCACGACAGTAATAACCAACAAATAGAAGAGAAATTTTCTGCATGTTTTGTCTAACCTTTGTCTAAATAATTTGATTTTTTTACTGTAAAGGTATGTTCCCTGGAATTACCATGAGGAGTCTCCCGGTCTTTATGACTTCAGTGGAGACAGAGACCTGCTGGCCTTTCTAAAGCTGGCGCAGGAGATTGGCTTGTTGGTCATTCTCCGACCAGGACCCTACATCTGTGCAGAGTGGGAAATGGTGAGGAAAACCTTTAATAGCAGCAGCCTATTCTTGTTAAAGGGCCTCTGATCTATGTTATAATGTTGTTTCCTCACCAACAACATACCTGGAGTTGTGTTCTGTTTCATTCACACAAATTTAAACACAACTCCAGGTATGTTTTTGATGAAGAAGCAACAATATAACATGATTTAAAGCTCACAAGAGTCAGTTTTGTGCACTATAGGATCTTTTAATGTTTTTATGACCTGGATCAATTGTAATTTCTAAAAAAAAAGATATTTTCAGGGTGGGTTACCTGCCTGGCTTCTTCGCAAAAAGGACATTGTTTTGCGTTCAACAGATAAAGGTGAGAAACAGCTACAACTACAACAAATTCATACTTTTTAAAATTTTATTTTATATCATTGTATTTTTATCCACCTTAGATTACTTATCAGCAGTTCATTCATGGATGGGGAAATTGTTGCCAATGATAAAACCCTTTCTCTATCAAAATGGAGGTCCGATCATTACTGTCCAGGTGAGTTTTATTGACTCAGCAGTTTTAGTATTAATACTTTGCAGTGATATTACGCTGGGGGGGTTCTCCATGTGTCTGTATGGCAGAATGTTCAGCAGTGACCATGGTGACACAATGCACACATTAAGAAACACTGCCAAAAAGTTTTTAGATGGTCTCAAAACTCAAAAATAATTCAAAATTTATTTAAACAACACATGTTCAAGAGCTTGTGATCAATGTGAGTGTTCGTGGTCTTGTTTAGGTGTTTAATTTTCAATAAAAAGGTGAGAGTGTCTAACTGAAAAACTGTTGGCTGATGGTAAATATCTTCTGATTTTATGTGAGAGAGACCTGTAGGAGCCGTTTTGACCTTTTATTTGTTGCTTATCTGTGGCTTTGTCCTCCATCCACTGTGTGGCAGTATGGTGCCCTCCTTAACATATTTAAGGGCCAAGAAGGCAGCCACAGGTGCTGCTGATTGGAGGCAAAGCGTTTTTGACCGCATTGTTTGTATTGTGGAATATGTGGATGGCAATAAAGGACTAAGAATTTATTTGTGGATTTATATTACAAGCGCATCAGAACAACTTTAAATCAGTAGCCAGGTGGCCAGTGGCATAGGGCCACTGGCTGCTACAAGACCATTGTAGTTCCATCTAAGTGAGCCCTTTCTGGTCAGATTGTTAAAACAAAGCTCAGATTAATGTCTAACTTGAGTAGCAGACCTTCAGACGGAGCAGTGCCTACAGGTCCTATCACACTCCCAAGGAATGTTGATGATATGAGCTTAGGGTGACCAGACGTCCCTATTTACCCGGGACAGTCTCCGTTTTTAGCCCTGTGTCCCCTGTCCCAGCAGGTTTATCCAAAACCAGTGATTTGTCCCAGTTTACACAAGAAATGTCCCTATTTTTGACCAATTTGAAATCAGCCAACAGTAAAGAGAGGCATACATTGTCATTTGTTTAGGTAAAATGCAGGAAAGCTGATTTAAAAATGACCAAATCACAAAGAAAATGTGGTAATCTGGTCACCATATATAAGCTGCAAAGTATCAACACTTCTTTGTATTCATATCTTTTTATTACGTGACTCTTCTCAAAGGTGGAAAACGAGTACGGCAGTTACTTCGCCTGTGACTATAACTACCTGAGGAACCTGACGCAGTTGTTCCGGAAACACCTGGGGGACGAGGTGGTGCTTTTTACCACAGACGGGGGCAGCGCTTTTTTCCTCAAGTGTGGCTCCATTCAAGGACTCTACGCTACTGTGGACTTCGGACCAGGCAAGTTTGTGCGACTTCTTGTACTTCTTGGGTGTAAATTAATGTGTAGATATCGTTATATTGATATGGTGCAATGGCATCGCGCTGGGGGTGTTCTGTGTGGATCTCTATTGGTGGAATGCCTAGCAGTTACCATGGTGACACAATCCACACAGACGAAAATGAAAAACAAAAAGATGAAAAAACACTAAATGGATTTACACAACACATTTTCAGGAACCTGTGATTAAATACAGGTGCTCACAGGTCTGTTTATGTGTTTGATTTCAACAAAAAAAAGTGAGATTGACTAACTTATGACTGTAATTTTATGTGAGAGACTTGTTTAACAGCACAAATCAGTTCAGCTGTTGTGTTTCCGACTAAACTAGCTCTTTCTGGTCAGACTGTGTTAAAATAAAGCTTAGGTTAAAGGCCAACGAACCTGAGACAGAGCAGTGCTTACAATTAGCATCAAACCCCCAGGTAATATTGACGAAATCCGCTGCAGAGTATCAACAGATGAGATGGTTCTGCTGCTTTTGATTTAACTTTTTATTCTGATTCTACAGGAGCAAATATAACGGCTGCTTTTGAGGCACAGCGCCACGTTGAGCCTAATGGACCCCTGGTAAATGAATGTTCCTCTCTTCCTCTCCTTTTTTTATTCACAGTGCTTTATTTTTATCTCAGAAATATAAATATTGTTTCTACCCATACTGACAATGGGTGCATTTTTTTCTGATTTCTAGACCTTTAAAATGATTTAAATTATATGCACATTGCACAGTTTGATGTGAGTAATGAGAGGGATCATGATCAGAAAGAATTCAGATCATGTTGTTGTTTATGTTTAGTTTTAATAATATTTTAGCTCCAAAAATCTGTTAACAATCAGAGTGTGCCTGTAACTGCAGTCTCAACCAAAGGGCCCATATTACGCTATTTTCCTGATCTATGTTATAATGTTGTTTCGTCATCACAAACACAGAAAACACTCCGTTCCACCTTGTAATGTCATGTGGTAATACAGGAAGTGCTTCTCTCTGTTTTTACAGCTATACAGTTTCACTAGAATCATTTGGATAATTTCAGTCCTGGAATTTCCAATCTGTTCTGAACTAAATGTAAAGGAGCTGTTAACATGGAAACTACTGCTTCTTGACATCACAAAATGGAACAGAGCATTTTGAGCTTTAGAGATGTAGACAGACTAATAATCCAGGGTTACTCAAACATGTGTGAATGAAACAAAACACAACTTCAAGTATGTTTTTGATCAGATAACATTGTTTAAAGCTCACAAGAGCCAATAATGCATAATATAGGAACTTAAAAATGTATTTAAGATGGTTGTCTATAAAAGAGGAACTATTAAATCAACAGCCACTAGCAGGTGTACACTACAGTGTGTGGTGGCTCTAAGCATTGATAATTTACATGATACCATACAAAAATACTTATCTGCTTATTAATTGCCTTTTTTCTTTCTCCAGGTTAACTCTGAGTTCTACACCGGCTGGCTCGATCACTGGGGCTCTCATCACTCTGTTGTGTCAACTGACGCCGTGACAAAGAGTCTGACTGAGATGCTTGAAAAAGGAGCAAATGTCAACCTGTAAGTTCACAAAGACATACTTTTTCTTTACACCAACAGTCATCTTTACTTTGTTTAAAGGTCCTATATTACACAAAACTGACTCTTGTGAGCTTTAAAGCCAATGTTACAATACTGTTACCTCATCAAAAACATACCTGGGGTTGTGTTTTGGAGATATAGAGATCTCCAAAATTAAAATGGTACCTTTTACCTTTAGTTTAACAGAGACTGGAAATTCTAGGGCTGAAATGATCCAAATGATTCTAGTGAAGATGTATAGAGTGTAAAAGCACAGTGGCGCACTTTGTGTATTATTACATGACATCACAAGGTGGAACAGAGTATTTGCAGTTTGAGAGAAGAACTCAGCTGGGTTTAAACATGGGTGAATGAAAAAAAAAACACAACTGCAGGTATGTCTGTGATTACGGAAACAACATTACATCATAGGTCAAAAAATAGTGTAATATGGGCCCTTTACAACGTTTAAAGTTTTGAGTTTGTGTGAAATCACTTCTGTAATCGGCAGGTACATGTTCATTGGAGGAACTAAATTTTGGATACTGGAATGGTATATAATCACAATACCACAATTACATAATTTTTAAGACCCTAAACTTTAAGACCTCCCTTTTATTTAATTTGTCAGGTGCCAATGAACCGTACAGCCCTCAGCCCACGAGCTACGACTATGACGCTCCACTGACTGAAGCTGGAGACCTCACCAAGAAGTACTTTGCTATCAGAGATGTAATTAAAAAGGTAGGTTGTAAAAGGAGTAAAAACTAGTATACAGTTAGTCCCCCTGCATGGCTTATTGAAGATTTTATTTTTGTTCTTGTACAACAGTTTCACAAAATACCAGAGGGTCCTACTCCACCATCAACTCCAAAGTTTGGCTACGGCACCATAACATTACAAAAGGTATAGTCCAACAGTTTTGATTATTCTGGACTACTACAGCCTGGAATGTTTCACAGTGCGGCATTAAACTTAAGTCTCCATGGAGGCAAGCAGGCTGAGGTACAGATCAGTTTGGTGTAGAGACGAGCCCATTCACGCTAGAAACCATGTTCTTAAAGGTATTTCTGAACAATAAAATTACCTCTAATGAAAGACTGAACAGACTTTTAATGCCATAATGTGGAACATACCAAGCAAAGCAATAGCAATAACATCCCTAAAGACAGAAAAGTTACATAATACACCGTAAAAATGAACAAAAAAATATAAAAAAAATTCATAATTTAGACGGAGACACTGTTAGAAGCCCTGAAGAAACTGTCTTACTCTGATCCTGTCAAAAGCTTGTATCCCCTGACCTTCACTGAGCTTAACCAGGTAACATTTTAAGTACTTTTATTTATGTTATTTGTAAGTATTATTTAGGCATATCTTTCATATTTTTTCTCCATTCTGCAGGCTCGTGGATTTGTGCTTTACCGGACCACACTTCCTTATAACTGCAGTAATCCAACTCCACTGTCCTCTCCTCTCAATGGGGTCCATGACAGGGCCTATGTGTCTGTGGATGGGGTGAGTCTGAGCTTGCACTCGAGTAACTTTACTTGTCTTTACTTTACTTTACTTTACTCAAAATAATATTACTCAAGTAGAAGTACAAAGTAGTGGTCCATGAATTTAATCAAGTAAGAGTTAAAAAGTATTTTGGAATAGAGCCTTGCACTTGACCTGTGGAACACATTTTGAAGCTCATTGCGGGCGAGGGCGTGTGGGATGATAAACTGCAGTCCCGCAAACTAAATATGAGTGTAAATTAAAATGTACAAATGATTAATGTTTGCCTATTGTACATAATTTTTGCTGGATATTTTATTTGGTCTTAATAAAAACATTTTAAGCAGCCTAAAGTTGCAGACATGGTCTAATCTCAAGCGCATTTTAGACAATTCCTTTCCGCTTCTCTGTGTTTGATAAAGCTTAAGAAAGCGGACGTCCCCATCTTGCGGGACTTGTGGGCGGAACGGGACAAAATATTGCAGATACAAGTAGGAGCGGGACTGAAAATTACAAATCTTTGCTGAAAAATCTGTCCCGTGCAGACCTCTATTTTAGGAAAACAACTAATCAAGTAGGCCTGACTTAAAGGTGTTTTGTATAACCTTTCTGGTGCAGAGTCTGTCAAATGCTTTTCTCCATGGAGTTTTTCTAGGTATTTTTGAGCAATAAAACCACCCGTAATTGAATAAATGTAACACAGATCTGTTTAATGTCATACTGTGGAACATTGGAAGCAGAGCAATGACATATCTATAGAAACAAGCAGGTGACAAACCCCCAGCCTAAAAGTTACATGGTGCACCTTTAAAGAGTAACTGTCAGGACGTAACATCTGATTTATAATTTGAAGGACAAAATATTAAAAAATAATGCACAAAATCAACATTTACAAAGAGTAGACACAAAACTGAGGAAAACAAAATCATATTATGGAAGAAACACAAATGTTCAAATCATTTCATATTGTCAACCATAAAGCTTTTGTCATTTGTAGACATTATGACATTGCTGATTTGTTATTTTCTACAAATCTACAAAACAGGACTTGAGTACACATCCCGCAATGTCTAACAGTGGAGCAGAAGCCAAAAGAAAAAAAAGTGCCAATGAAAGGTGACAGATAAACAATAACAGATAAACCACGGTCCAAAGTTATGGCTCACTTGTCTTATGCATTCTGAATATCCTGAACTGTAACGCTGACTGACTGTGATGACGTTTTGAGAAATTGTGAAAGTATGAGATCATGAATTTCCAGATCAGAAAATGAATCAAGCCTTGTGAAATTGAAGGCAAGCTGAACATCTTTTGTCAATATGGACAAATGACTACTATACATACCATTTTTGACATGTTGGGCCCTGCTTTTTTTTCCTTTATAATAGACAGTTTCATTATTAAACATGTAAATTCTTCTCTGTAGTGTGAAATGTCACCAAAACTTTTACTCAAGTACTGTTACTTCAATAAAAAATATTACTGAAGTAGGAGTAAAAGTATGCTGCTAGGAAACTACACTACACTAAACTACAATTCAATGAGTACTTCCCATCTTTGTATATAATATTTACAGGCTGTAAAACTCTGTTCTCTTCCAGGTGGCTGCAGGAATTCTTGAAAGATCCAAAATTATAACCATGAACGTTACCGGAAAAGCTGGAAGTCGTTTGGACATATTGGTCGAAAACATGGGGCGAATCAATTATGGAAAAGGAATCAATGACTTTAAGGTTATTTCTACTCACATGTGCTGTAGTGGTGTGTGTTGCTTATAGTTTTTAGAGAAACCAACACAAATACACAACTTTCTTTTTTCAGGGTTTAGTGTCTAATATGACCCTGGGAGCAGATGTGCTGACTGGCTGGACCATGTACAGCCTCAATCTCGAACAGGCGATTAGTAAGGGAGTCCTGAAGAAGTCCATATCCTCAGGCCCTCCTCAGACTCCCACTCTGTCTTCTCCAACATTCTACGAAGGAAGCTTTGTTATTCCTGGTGGCATCCCAGATCTCCCCCAAGATTCTTTCATCAAACTCCCCAACTGGACAAAGGCAAGTCATCAAAACACATACCAGATTTTGTTTCATTCACACATGTTTAACACACAAACCCTGGATATTTAGGCTGAGTTCTTCTTGGAAACAGAAAACACTTCGTTCTACTTTGTGATGTGCCATGTAATACAGAATGTGCTCCACAGTGTTTTTAAGCTCCATACACCTTCATTAGAATCATTTGGATCATTTCATCTCTGTAATTGCCAATCTAAACTAAACAAAAGGTAAAATTTCCCTTGTGGATTAATGAAGTTTGTCAAAGTCGAAGTCCAAGGTAACTTGAAAACTACTGCTTCATGACATCACAAGTTGGAACAAGGCATTTTGTGCTTTGAGGATGCTGACAGACTAATAATAAAGGTGTTACCTAAACATGTGTGGATGCAATAAAACAAAACTTCAGTTACATTTTTGCAAACATTTTTCCACACTATAAGGAGCACTGTCATTGAATGGTCTGTTTTCGAACTTTCTTCACAAATAAACCGCACCGGACTTTAAATGAAACACAACAGTTCGATGGGTCAGTGGGACTTTGTTTGGCGCGTTCACAGTGACTCTGAGCATTGTTCAATTGTGTTGTTTTCAGTTCAGTTCAATTCAGTTGTTCAGTTGTGGCTAGAAGTGGCACATTGCACTCACTTTTTTGGTTAATTCCTCCGTTCCATTCCTCGTCTGTGTGGAGTGAGGAGTGTGGCTGCGGGTGGTGCGGTTTTGTAGTTTACTGAAGTCGTGCTGGGAACCCCGAGTGGATTCGTGTATAGGGCGCTCTGGATTGTGGGGTGCGCAGTCGTTTTTTGATGGGGTTGGAGGCTTAAGAGCGCGCCCAATAGTGCGGAAAATACGGTAATTTATAACACCAACACCTTTAGTTTAAAATGCCGTTTGTATAATGATTATGTGAAAATAATTAGATTTTTGTCTTTTCAGGGTCAAATTTGGATTAATGGATTCAATTTGGGTCGTTACTGGCCGGCGCGTGGACCTCAGGTGACTCTTTTTGTGCCCAGCAGCATCCTGAAGACCACTACTCCAAACCACATCACCGTCCTGGAGCTGGAGTCTGCTCCCTGCACCAACGGGACCTGCACTGTGGAGTTCACTGATACTCCCATTATAGGCACCACTCACCTAGACTACTACAAACCAATCAGCAGACTCTTTTCTAAGAAGAATTTATTATAATGAGGGAATTAAACCACAGATGGAAAAAGGATTGTTGAAGGTGCATTGTGTAACTTTGCTGGTGGAGAGTCCATCAGACACTTTTCTCCATCGAAATGTTATTGCTTAGGCTTGAATGTTTCACAGTATTAAACCTTTCTATCTTCATGGAGACCAAACCAAATCAAGTTACAGGTCAGATCTGTGGAGAGGCAACCTCACTCACAGTCAGAATGCCTGTTTTTTTAAATATTTTTTAGCATTAAAACCACCTGTAATTTAATAAATATAAGATAGAGCTGTTTAATGTCACACTGTGGAATATTCTTGGCAGAGCAATGACATATCCATAGAAACAAGCAGGTGGTGAACCCTCTACCGGAAAAGTTACACAATGCACTTTAAGGGCGGTGAAAACACTTTTATTTGATCAATGAACCTTTTTTGCCTTTTTAGTAATTTACTCATTACAGTGGTGGAACGCAACGAAGTACAAATAGTAAAGAAAGAACTACATTTTAGGTATCTGTAATTTACTTAACTGGAAACTTTTACTTCATTGCATTTGAGAGCAGGTATCTGTACTTTCTACTCCACCACATTTTTAACAGGACTGAAAAGTAAAAGTATTTTTATTAGGCCTATTGTATGAGACCTGCTGAATTTGGTTATTTTTATCAAGTTTACAATTTGAGCAAAGAATCAATCAATTCTGTTGCTTCTGCTGAACAAAATGCAGTACAAATCTTTACCAAATCAATACATCTGAAGCGTTTTTAAATATCAAAATCTGCGTGAAATACTTTTACTTTTTACTCTTTACATACATTTTCGAAAATTGCTTTAATACTCTTACAGTGGTAAATTTTTTCATGTGAAACTTTTACTTAAATATTTTTTGCTCCAGTGTCTGTACTTTTACTCAAGTAACAAGAGCGAGTACTTCTTCCACCACTGATTGATTATGCACTAATGAACTGTTATTGTTGTTTCTACCTCACAGAATCAGACAACATTATACAGTTTTATATTTTACAAGGGATTTGACACTATTGTTTGTTCTGCTTTTGTAAATCATCAGGTATTTTAAAGTAAGATAAGATGTACTGTAAAAAAAAAAAAAAAAAACAAAGTGCGTTTGTGAACATGTAAAAACTGAGAATAAATGATTGTGCCTTGACTTTTGATCATTTCCTCCAAAACACGAGGTGGCGCTGTTGTGTCCGTGTGGCACAAACACAGACGGAACAGACGGGCCCGTGCAGCACAACAGCGAAACCTGCTGCTCTTTTTTTTATGTTTTATCACTGAAAAGAGGTAATTATTACACATTTTTATCTATTTGAAAAAATAAAGTGAAGTCAGAAGAATCGACCCACAGTGCATGAGCTATTGAGCTAAGTCTTGTTCTTTAATGCGAGCGTTGCTTTCATTTGCGCCAAGGTTAATGCAGCGTAAGATCATTTTTTTCTGAATTTGAGCAAAAACTCTGACATACTCTTACTTTACAACAGTGTTTGTTTAATCAAAGAAAAACCATATATGTGCATTTTAAAACAAACTACACATGAACCAAACACGCCCTATGTAAATGATGAAACAGCAGCTAATGTCTGTGTGTTTTCTGTGTTTTTATATAGGGGGAGGTGGACTGTACACGATGGCATTTTTACGAAAAGAAAATACATCGTGAGACATCGTGATGCTCAACCACACTCCTCCAACCAGCACACAGTGAAAAGTTATAAAGTAATCCCCAACAGCTGGAGAGACCATGGTGGATAATCGCTACGCCACTGCTCTTGTGATCGGCTCCGTGCTCAGTCTGCTGGCCACTGTGTACCTGTCTGTGGCCGTGGGGACTCAGCACTGGTACCAGTTCAACAGCCCCCCCATCAAACACGAGGTCAGCAACGTGTCCGACGTCAAGGACGACTTCATCAATGGAGACTTTGACGAGAAGAGCTACAGTGAGACCATGTTCAAGCTGAACGGGACCCTGGGGCTGTGGTGGAGGTGCATCCAGGTGCCCGGTCCGTCCCACTGGTTCAAAGAGCCAGGTAATTACTCATGAGTTAGTTAAAGGTGCTTGTGTTTCTGCTTGTCTCCACTGATCCAGTTCAATCTGCTTTATTTATATAGCACATTTTATAAACATGACAGTTTCCAAAGTGCTGCACAGACAAATTAATACAGTAAAACATAAGACAGTAAACCATAAATAAAAATGTTAAAATGCATAAAGTAAAAAATTATAAAAATCAATTAATAAATACATGAAATTAAGGAAATAAATACAATTAAATAAAAGCCACAGAGGACTTCCACTAACAATACTAAAAGTCTACTAAGTCCACTAAGTTTGTGCATAGGTAATATGAAAAACACCCATTTTACTCATCAAAACAGTGAAAATGTTAACACATTTATAGCCATTACAGAAAATAATTTGGGTAAAATATACCTGAAAACACTCTTGGCGATATATCGATACACCAGCCCACGATATTGATACTATATCATTAAATTAAATGAAACAATACAATATATCGATATTTCAATATTTTTTCACACCCCTAGTCTCGATTGAGATGGTTTTGTTTTGCCTGGAATGTTTCATGGTGTTGAGGAAAAAATTAGGTTCTCATGTAGGTACTAACCAAACACAGTAGTTTATGCTGTGTGATTTCGGTATAGTTGAACAGAAAGCAAACCAAGAGTACGACACAGCAGTATGACTTTAAACATTTCCATCTCGCTTTTATGCATTACAGGTGTTTCTATTGCTCAAAAATACAATAAATCCTTCTGTGAATAGGGGTGAATCTCCACAGATCTGAAATGTAATGTAGCGTAGAGCTGTAACCTGTTTGTCTCCTTCGTGATAGATTTTATCTGTACTGTGGAACATTCTAGACATAGCAATGACATTTTGATGGAGACAAGTAAGTGGCAGACCCAAACTACCAGTAGAAATGTTACTCTGTGCACCTTTTAATAGCTTGTAAAATGTAATTAATCTGATTGCTATTATAACATAGAGTACCTATAAGCCTATTACCTTGTCTGGCTACAAGATTGTCCTACTGAAAAGCTAATATTCATGTTCAACACAGATATTTCACTAGCAAATCCACAACAATGGTATGCAGTAAAGACATTTATTGACAATATGGGTGGTCAGCCCAGCCCATTGAGGACCCCCGTCTGTAGAAGGTGAGGTCTTCAAGCTGGAATATAAACAAGAGACACAGGGGAGACAGACTGTGTTGTAGGGATAGGCTTGTATAAAGAGAAGAGAAGCAGGAGGTTGAGGAAAGGTCCTGTTCCTGAATCTCAGTTAATAATATTTACTCATATTATAATGTTGTATCCTCATCAAAAACACACCTGAAGTTGTGTTTTGTTTCTTTTACACATTTAACACACAAATCCTACATATTTAGGCTGAGTTCTTCTCTCAAACGCAAAACACTCAGCAAACAGTGTAATAATACAGGATTACTCAAACATGTGAATTCTAACATGGCTAAAAGCTCACAAGAATCTTTTTGTGTAATATAGGACCTTTAAAGTGTAGATAGGTGATGGGAATGTTTATGTTTTTTGATATGAAATAAATATTCGTACGTGCCTCACTGTCTCCTGATCTTAATTGCAGATCCCAAACTGGAAACTCAGTGCGTCGGCTTCACTCTTCAGCAGCAGTTTTTCCCAAAATATAAACAGCCGGGGAACCACAACAGTGAAGAGGATCTCCTAAGAACATGTGAGACACTTGAACGCCTAATTATTAATACTTTGCAGTAGAGCCTGACCGATATGGATTTTGTTGTGGCCGATATGAAACCGATATAATGGGGGTTGGGGCTGCCGATAGCCGATATAATCGCTGATATATTTAGTGATGTAAAAATTCACTGTAAATCTTGAATTGATTAAAAAACTTAGGTTTGGCTCTAGTGAATTCTAAATTGGGTTTATTTAGGCAACATTTATTGTTATTTTGACTCTTTACATCATATTTACATACAGTAGATTGGCCTAATGGCATTTTTGCATCACATTCTAGCTACTGTTACTGTCACTGCTAGTGATGGGTATTCCAGTTTTATTTTATTTTTTTTGGAGAACCAGCTCGGCTCACTAAAGCAGCTGGCTCTTTCGGCTCCCAAGCGACTCTTGAGATTGTTTTGTTGCAAGCAGGACTAAACCAGAACTGAACCAGGACTGAGTGTCGGGACTCAGTTTCTATCTTTCTCCTGCACTCGAGCCCAAGATTAGTCCTGGTTTATTCATTTTATGCTGAACTGCAGCCAAATATGCACTTTTTTTATCCTATGCACACGCAGATTTCTGAAAGTTTCGTTTTCAGGCGCTGCTGCTGTCAAACTACGGGTCTACATGCGGCATGAAGAGAAAAAGTGAGAAAAAGAGAAAACACGGCTCCCAATAAGAAACATGCTCCCGTTGTTCGCTTCAAAGAGCCGCTTCGATCGCGACCGACCCATAACTCCTAACTAGTAAACTACCGCTATTAGCCTTTAACCGTAAAAACGTGCGCACCGCGGTAATTAATTATATGCATAAATGTGGATCATTCACACGTCTATTCACAGCTCATTTACATATCAATACTGGTCCAGTAACAAATATACAGCCAATATAGTCACTTTACAATAGACCAATAGAAAACAGCCTGTTTATGTGTGGGAGCTACAGCAGCTAATTGCTAACAAAACCTAAACTAGCTTCAAAGTCGATGTATTTCCAACACTCACCGCTCACACAGGCTCCTTCTAACATCACAAGTCTGCACTAATAAATGTCCTTTTAATCCAGACTCAAACCGATTGTCCGAAAAAGAATATAATCTCAGTGTTGCGCACGGCTGCGGGTGTAAACAAACACACGCGAGTGAAGTGACGTCACTCTGGTGGTGTGTTCAGGGACAGTACGGACACAGACAAATTACACCGTAGATAAATACTGATGCGGAGCCACATATTAGGACATTTATCTGTCTGTAAATTGGATTAAATGAACATAATGTAGAGAGTCTAAGCTTTATAACGAGATATAACATGCCCACGTGAAATATCGGCCCATATCAGCAAGCATATCGGCCGATAGCCGATATGTCTCCAGGTGCCCATATTGGCCGATAATATCGGCCAGCCGATATATCGGTCGGGCTCTACTTTGCAGTGACATTACGTTGGGGATGTTCTATATGCATCTCTATTGGCAGCAGTTCAGCAGTTATCATGGAGACACAATGTACACATGAGCAAACACAGACAAAAAAGTTTTAAGATTGCCTCAAGAAAAAGTTAGGGGTAGAACTTGATAAAAAAAATAATCTAATTAATTACAGGCTTTGCAAAACATGTCAGGATGAGGAGTGGTCCTACTGCTAGATCTCAGTTAATAATATTTACGCAGTTTAAAGGGCCCATATTATGCAAATACAAAATCAATTAATCGCACAACCATGTTTGCTTTACTCATTTACTAATTTACTAATTTACTAATTTTCTTCCCGAAGCCCGTTATTTGTTAGAGTTTGGGCTGCTGACGCCTCTTGTTTGTAGTCACACCAGCTCCAGCAGGTTCTGGGCTGCTCGCTGTGACATGTTTTGCATTCAAATGGTATCATAGGGTTGAGGTGCTTCTGTGATAAACAAACTCTTCCCTGCACAATTTGCAGTAAACAACGCCTTTGTCAATACTTCCATCAGGTAGTTTTTTAAATAGAAATTTACCATCCAGCAGACCCAGAGCGCTTTCATGCTCCATTGTTATGTTCAGAACTGTGTGCATTAGTATAACTGGCGTTCCACGACATGGTGCACTGGTGTTCTGCGCTAAAATGTGTAAATTTTTTTAATGCATTGTTTTCTTTGTAATGAATTAATCGGAATTAACAGGTTAATGTCAAACCCCTAGAAAGGTCTTCAAGGTGGAATGTAAACAAGAGACACAGTAGAGACAGACTGTGTTGTAGGGATAGGCTTGTATAAATAGGGCTAAGGTGTAGTTGAGGTAAACTCTGGTTTGCTAGAGAGAGCAGGAGGATGAGGAGTCGTCCTGCTCCTAGATCTCAGTTAATAATAGTTACACAGTTTAAAGGGACCATATTATTCAAATACAAAATGAATTTGAACAAGACATTTCGAGGAGCCTGTGATCAATATGAGTGTTCATGGTTCTGTTTAGGAGTTTGATTTTCAATAAAAAGATGAGATTGACTTGTTTAAATCATAGTTGAGCTGACTTGGTTGTAGTTTCAATCAAGTCGACTCTTTCTGGTCAGATTGTGTTAAACCAAAGCCCAGATTAAAGTCTAATTTAAGTAACAGGGCTTCTTCTTACAGAGCAGTGCTTTCAGAGAATATTGACAACATCACCTGCAAAGTATCAATTGTGTTTTAAATCATGAACACATTTACCGTTCGGAGTGTAACCTGACCTCTCCTCCTCAGACCTGTGGAGGTGCCAGTTCCTGCTGCCCCTGGTGTCCCTGGCGTTAGTGTTTCTCAGTGGGCTGGTGGGAGTGTGCGCCTGCCTCTGCCGCAGCTTCACCCCTACTCTGGGCGTCGGAGTCCTCCACCTTCTGGCAGGTAGAAGAAGTTTTAACCTCTAACTTGAATATCTCACATGCTCATGCTAACAACAATTTAATATTACCGTACATGGCTTACCAGCTGAGGTGTTTAGGTTAATTGAAAAATCTATGTAACGCAAAGGTGCATGATTTTATACTACTTAAACCACAGGAAATGAAACTATATATAATTTTGGTACATTAGCTGTGGTTACATGTGCACTTTTGGATCAAATTGTTAAAAAAATAGGACATATCTTGTATAAAACTGTAAAAAAAATCTATGTTTTTTGATAAATCTATTGGAATATGGGACACGGAGCTCAAAACTGGGACTGTTCTGGGTAATAGGTCAACCTATAAACCTGCTGTCCTTTTATAGAAACCAAAGTCCATTTCAGTTCCATAATAATAAATCAGACTTCTTAGAAATTATCCAGTGATTTATTCAAATGCATTTTACATGTCATGTTAAAATGACAAAATTGTAGTTGTTCCTTATTATATAAAAATGCAAAAGTGCATTTTATACAATATAATTTATATAATTTTGGTACATTAGCTGTGGTTACATGCACACTTTTAGAGTTATAGGTATAGATTATTTAAATGACATGTAAAAAGCAAAACCATCTCATTTACTTGTGATCACGATCCCTTTGTTTTCTCACATCAGAGTTTGCAGTTTACATGTCATTACAGTAGTCTCAATGGTGCAGAAATCAGATTACTGTATAAACAAAGCCACTGATACTTAAATTGTGTCTGTAATATAGTTATAATCTATGAAACCCGTAATATTCATCTAAAACAGGGGTTGGCGATTATTTTTCCATGGGGCCACATGAGAAAAAGAAAATATTGTGAAGGGCCGGGCCAAAATGCTTAACTCAATTCTGCAAAATATTAATTGTATTTCTTTATAAAAAGCAGTAATTAGCATTGTTCTGGCAAGCTGGTCAGACAGGTTATGTTATGACAGCAATGAAAAAGTGAAGCTGCCTTACAAAGAAATATAATTTAAGAAAAACAATACTCGATAAATAATCAATATGCTTTAGTCCATGCATGAGGTAAAATTATAAAATATGTTTATTTTGTAATTCCAAATGAGCATAAACAGGTTGGTCAGAGTCTACCAAAGATCCCTATGTGGCCCCAGAGCTGTACAATGCCCAGGTCTGATCTAAAACAACTTGATAAAAGAAACAAGTCTGCTGATTGGATTGGTGCCAAATGGAGCTGTCGTCGACGTACACTTCGTCACAGTAAAGAGCCGTGAAGTTATCTGCACATGGATAGAATTGCATTTTTTTTTCCGTTTGTACCAAAGTTACTACATAGAGAAAAATCCCTTACTTATGTCCTAATAAATCTCACATTTTGCAAGTAAGACGGTGTGCAGGATTTTTCTCACTCTCCTTCAGCGCACTCGTTTCAAGAAATTGATGTGCGAAGTTCTCATTCTTATATACCATACTGCCAAATCCTACGTGTATCACCGAGAATGAAGTAAGTACAGAGCAGTGGGCGTTTGCTGGTGGTGGTGAAAATGGGAGTTGATCGGCAAAATGGTGTCTCGAAAATAAGCGTTTAAAGATTGCTCAAATGTGCACGAATCACAACTTTGGGTGAGTAAATGGTGAGGGGAAAACAAGCCAATTTTGCAGAATAGAGCTTTAGCTTTCAGCTTTAAATATTATACAATTTGTGTTATATATTAGTTATTATCTGCAGCAAAACAGTGTACATATATATTTAAAAACCCCTCTGTTGTGTGATTTTACAGTAATGCCTTCCTCTCCACCAGGTCTGTGCTCCCTGGGCTCGGTGTGCTGCTTCCTGGCCGGTGTAGACCTCCTGCGTCAGTTCATCAATCCACCAGAGGGCGTCGACGGGTCCCTGGGGTGGTCCCTGTACCTCGCACTCATCTCCTTCCCGCTGCAGATGATGGCTGCTGCTCTGTTTCTGTGGGCGGCCAGGAGTCATCGCAAAAACTACACTCGTATGACCGCTTACAGAGTGGCCTAATACTTTATACAACTCCACTGACTTCCATGTCAATAGCGAACTGATGATTCAAAGTTATTGCGTTGTTTTTTTCATACATGGAACAAAACATATCAAGAAAAGTCCGTAGCCAGAAAGAGATCTCTCATTTTGATATACTCATCTTTTGTTTATATTTTTTTAACCAAAGTTTTCTCTAAATTGGAGATTCTTATTTTTGTGTTTGTGGATGCCTTTGTTGTATTTCTAAGCTGCTCACCACATTGTCCTTATTGTGCTGCACTGTGCTAGCTTTCCGTTTTTAACTTGGGGTAAATTATTTATCTTTTATTTGTAATATTTAGCCTATTTTATTCGCTGTGCATGCCTTTAACTGCATTTTTTGCCAACTGTGGTACTTGGTTTTCTGTGGTAATATACTATAAATAGTCTTGAGTAGACAGGCACCCATTTCAGTTTTGGTACAGCAATATTAATACCAATTTGAGACACTGTTAGCGTTCTTGATTACTGCTACATGTGTTAATTTAGAGTAGAGTACGATGCAATATTTCCCAACTATGGAGCTCAACAGTGCTTTAATAACTTAACAGTTTATAAAGTTCCCAAAACTGATCTTAAATAAAACTATAGGTCTTGTGGCCATTAGTTACCCCATAACTGATTAGTCTTGAGCTTTCAAACTTTTAATATACTTTTATTTTATTTCAGAAAGTCTGAGAAATGTATTTCAGGAACTGGGGGGTGGGTGGTCACTGTTGAGCTCCACACTGCAAGTCAAAGCTAGTTTAGGTTTTGTAAAATTCACCTTAAAGAGAAAAGCAGTCGCCAAAACAAAGCAATGCCTGAGCTGGAATACACTTTTTTTAATATTGTTGCTTGATTAACTTTGCAAATGTCTTCTATGTATAATTTAATGGTAAAAAATCTGATATACTCATTATGTTGTTCTACATTATAAACTAGGGTGACCAGATTTTCAAATAAAAAACTGGGACACACCTGGGATGTGATGTTTGGTAATAATAAAATTGTGAACAGAACTCGTAACATTGCCCATTCTCGACTCACTTGTGTCCGTTATAATCTTTATCTTTATCCTTATGATAATTTTTAAGCAAATTTTTCTGTATTTTAGCTAAACAAATATAATAATACAAATATAATTCCCCTTTTACTGTTGGCAGGTATCAAATTTGTTAAAAAATAGGATATTTCTTGTATAAAACTGGGACAAATCAATGTTTTTTGATAAATTTACTGGAATATGGGACACAAGGCCAAAACTGGGGCTGTCCAAGGCAAATATATGAAGTCTGGTCACCCTTAGAGAAATCTGCTGTCCTTTGTAGAAACCAAAATCCATTTCAGTTCCATATTAATAAATCTGACTTCTTAAAAATTATCCAGTCATTTATTCAAATCTCAAGTATCATATAAAAATACTGTAGTAATTCAACAAAATCTTGTGCGTAAAGGTGCACTGCGCAACTTTTCTGATACTAGATTGTCGTCATGGGGATGGTATTGGTTTCCTTGGAATATTACATGGTTTGATTCATTACAGGTGTTTCCATTGATCAAAAATACAAATAATTCCTTCTGTGAATAGGTGCGACTCTCCACAGATCTGATTTATAATGCAGCGTAGTCCTGTAACCTGCTCTTCTCCCTTGTGATAGATGGTTTAAGCAACACTGTAGAACATTCTAGGCCAGTGTTTCTGGGGACCCATATTTTAAAAGTCACAAACCTTTGCGACCCAAGTCAATAGACATTATTCGTAAATCACTAAATAAAGGTGGACTTGACCATTATTGAACATTACTAAGGATATTTTATTGTTGACTGAGTGATCGTGTCTCTGTGAATAATTAGTATTACTCAAGTTTTAAACAATGAAAAACAGTAATTGTACCAGCAATAAAATGATCCATAAGTTGCCTATTTGGACACTAAATGTAGCCCATTTCTTTTTCTTTTCAACATTCAAATGAACCAGCAATATTGGAACAAAATAGTGAATAAAATAATTACAAAAAGATTAGAAATTACAAACATGTCTTAGCATTTTAACATTTCTAAAGAGATAGATGAGCCTGCATTTTTGTAGCGAGTTTCAGTCCAGGGTGCAGGAGAAGAGCACAACACTCATATCAGAGCCAGAACTGTATATTTCAGACCTACATGCAGATTGTGACAAGGCGACCCCCCAAAAAATCTCTGGTGACCCACCTGAGGTTCCGACTAAGCCTTTGGAAAACAATGTTCTAGACAAAGCAATAACATTTCCATGGAGACAAGCAGGTGGTGGACCCTCAACTAGAAATATTTTGCAGTGCACCTTTACCTAAGCGCAGTTTGCATAGTTCTAATAATTGCATAGAGAAAGTAGCATCTTTCAAATTATTTCAGTCTGTCCTGACACTTATCGGTGGAAGTGTGATTGTTTTCTTTTGTCCTAAATGAAACGCAATCTTCTTTTCATAATAGGCACACTCGTTGATAAAGACCGGGTAAAGGTCCTCTCCTTCGTAGTTCAGCGTCTCACCGGAGAAAGTTTTAAAAATGGGGTCACCAGACTGCAGGAGTTTGAAGTCATTATCCTGGAGAAACAAAGCAACTGTTAATGTCACTCAAACTCTCCGGGGTATGTGCCATTTCAGCTTTTCATGTCTTAAATTCAAAATAGTTTTCCAAGAAGGACTGAAATAAGATCACTGGTGTATTTGTAAACGGACACTAGAGACAGCTCCATAGAGCATGCTGAAAGAGAAGAGGCAACAACAAAAATCTGTCCCCCAAGGAAATAAACTTTTCTTTTTTGTGAATTATAAATATGAGGTAAGGCACTGAAGTCTTCATAGACACCATCAGTCTTTACAACTGAAATACATGGCAAGGAATATGTTAATTTTTTGTTAATTATAGGAGACATATAGGGCAAAATTGACTTTTAAAGTCCTATATTACGCAAAATGGACTCTTGTGAGCATTTACAGTCCCTGACAAAAGTCTTGTCGCTTATCCATTTTGTAAAAACAAAAGCTTATAACCTGACTTTAAATTAATCGATTGGTTTTAGAAATGTCTCATATGAAAGCTAAAACCCTCCCAAATTATGCTCAATATACTAAAATAAATTTGCTTCACCGAAGAAAGATTGATCATTTAATGAACACAGAAAGGTCAGATTTTGGCAAGACAAAAGTTTTGTCGCCTTGTCATATGATGCACCCAATCCTAGATTACAGCCTCACCTGTGATCAGTTACTGATCAATCAATTAATGGGTGTGTATAAAAAGAACCCCAGCACACCAGACCTTCACATCAACTGCAACTTGACCTCTGACAACATGCCTAAGATCCACCCTGAGACCAAAGCGTTAATTATCAAGAGGCTGAAGACCAGATCCACTGCTGAGGTGGTGACACCTTCAATGTGTCTCAGCGTCAAGTACAAAGAATAAGAAAAAGATCTGAAATGACTGGAGATGTTTTTGACAAGCCCAGGTCCGGCAGACCCCGCAAGACAACTGCTCGGGAGGACCGTTTGTTGATTTGAAAATCCAAGGCCCCTTTTCCACTGCAGCAGACTCCACCAGGCCTGGTCACCTCAAGTCCCTGTGTCAACCTGAACAGTTTGTAGAATTCTGTCTCGAAATGGCCTCCATGGTTGAATCAGTGCACAGAAACCAGCACTAAACAAAAGGCAATTAAAAAAAACGTGTGGCATTTGCCAAGGCCCACAGCCTGCTAAAAGGATGGACACTGGAAAAGTGGCAGAAGGTGGATTTCTCAGATGAATCCTCGGTTGAATTACATCACAGCCGCAGCAAATATTGCAGGAGACCTACTGGAGCCGCATGGATCCAAGATTCACCCAGAAAACAGTTAAGTTTGGTGGCGGAAAAATCATGGTCTGGGGTTCCATCCAGTCTGGGGGTGTGTGAGACATTTGCATGGTGGAAGGCAATATCAATAACCTAAAATATGAAGAAGTATTAGCTCCTCTTACATTCCCAATCATAAAAGGGGTCAAATTTTGCAGCAGGATGGTGTTCCATCGCATAATTCTATCTCTACATCAGAGTTTCTCAAGGCGAAGAAGATCAAGGTGCTCCAGGACTGGCCAGCCCAGTCACCAGACATGAACATCATTGAGCATGTCTGGGGTAGAATGAAAGAGGAAGCATGGAAGGCAAAACCAAAGAATCTTGATGAACTCTGGGAGGCATGTAAGACGCTTTCTTTGCTATTCCTGATGACTTCATCAACAAATTGTATGGATGCGTCCTTCAAGCTCATGGAAGTCATACAAGATATTAAATATGGATCTCACAGCACCACTACTTAATTCACTGACGTTATGCAACATATTTTTGTATTTGAAGTAAATTATTTGTTCAATTTTCTGTAGGCGACAAAACTTTTGTCTTGCCAAAATCTGACCTTTCTGTGTTCATTAAATGATCAATCTTTCTTCAGTGAAGCAAATTTATTTTAGTATATTGAGCATAATTTGGGAGGGTTTTAGCTTTCATATGAGACATTTCTAAAACCAATCGATTAATTTAAAGTCAGGTTATAAGCTTTTGTTTCTACAAAATGGATAAGCGACAAGACTTTTGTCAGGGACTGTATAATGTTGTTACCGAATCAGAAACATCCCTGGAGTTGTGTTTTTTTTCATTCACACTTTTGAATAACCATGCATTATTAGGTTGTCTGAACCTCCAAAGTTCAAATGGTCTGTGCCACCTTGTGATGTAATGAAGTGGTAGTTTTCAAGTTGACAGCTACCTTTTACCTTTAGTACAGAGGTCATCAAACTAAGGCCTGTAGACCAACTCAGGGCCTGCCACTGCCCCCCACCACTTTTGGCAAATACTAACATGTCTACATCTTGTATTTTGTTTATTTTTTCAATTAAAAACTGATATTTATATGAAGTATTTATATGTATATGTAAATAATTATAGGATGCACTTTGTGTTGCATTTTTGTATGAAAAGCGCTCTGTAAATAAAGTTTGATTGATTGATTTACATTTTGCCGCAGAATTCGCCGCCGAATTTTCGTCACCTGTCAAGCTCGAGATCAAATAGTGACAGTCAACGCATGTGCAGAGTTCTGTAGTGCAGTTAAGGACAGCAAAATGGCATGTTAAAGTACGGAAAGTTGACAGAGAGTGACGATTTTTCAGAACAATGGACAACCGATTATTTTTTTGTTCAGTGTAAGGACTGTGCAGTTTGTTTGATATGTAAAGAAAGTGTGGCAGTTTTCAAAAAATATAATCTGCGTCATCAGGGTCATACAGTTCTGTTATACGGCCAACACAACCCCAACCCCCATTGGCAATTCCAGGTCTGAAATTACCCAAATGATTCTACTGAAGTGCATAGAGTTTAAAAACACAGTGGAGCAAGATACAAAGTGTTTTCCATTCGAAAGGCTTAAACGTGTGAATCAAACAAAACACAACTAAGTATGTTTTTGACGAGGAAACAACATTATAACATAGATAGAAAATAGCGTAAATACGGTATGTGCCTTTAACTGAACATTTCATATCGTTACCTGTAGCTGCGGGTGAACGATAGCTGTGAGTTCGTTGGTTTTAGGATCTCGAGGATAGTCTACGCTCCTCTCTAATACAAAAGTGTCCAGTTGGCCTCCTTCAAATGTTGTTCCTTCCAGCAAAATTCAACATTATACAATATACAGGATATGATTGGTGTAAAGTACCAGTCAAAAGTTTGAAGACGCCTTTTTCAGTGATTTTTTTTCTTTACATTTACCACTTTTTACATTTTATATACTCACAGAAGACAAAAAATCAAACATGTGGTGCAGGATATATGAAATTATATAGAAAAAAAAGTTTTAATTTTTATTTACTCAGATAAATATTTTGTATATTTTCATTTTAAATCTGGATTCACCCTTTGCTTTGTTGACAACTCTGCAAACCTTTGGCCGTCTCTCAATAAACTACTTGATTAAGTCTCCTGAAATGGTTTTCACTTCACAGTTGTGCCTTGTTTGGGTCAAGAAATGCCACAAGTGCAAATAAAGGTTCAAAGCAAAGAGTGGCTATATTATTTCTGCAGTTATTTTATTCTATTTTTGTTTACTTAATCCCACATTTGTCATAGTTCACAGATTTGATGACTTCAGTGAGAATCTACAATGGGAATAATAATGGAAATAAAGAAGAACAATAAATTAAAAAGTGTGTAATAACTTTTGACTGGTAGTGTGTTTTAAAATGTGCTATGACCAGCATTACCAGCATTAAACTTACCAGCATTAAACTTGTTGAGCCAGTCTAAAGTGTGGTCAATGGCCTCTTTCATCATGTTATAAATGTCTGCCCTGAGTACACCGTTGGGCTGTGGGCCGACTTCAATGGCTGAAGTCAAAAAAGAAGAGTTAGCAGCGTAACAGTGAATCTCTATCTCTATCTGTAGTTTAAGTTCAGCTACTTACCAAATCCATGTTTGCCGACAGAATCTACACAATAAGCTTCGGATGAGGAAGCACGGTTGGTGTTGAAGAACCTTATTGGAGCAGAAGGCATCTTGGTCTTAAACGAAAATGTTAAAATATGTATTCATTCTTTCATCAACTTTTTTGTCAAGCTTTTTTATGAAACATTGCTGTACTCATTATTCGTACTGATACTATGCGTTGATATCGTACTGAGGATGTTCTACGTGTATCTCTATGGTGGGATGTTCAGAAGTTGTATTGGAGATCAGACTGTATATATAAATGTACATAGTTAAAGCACTAGCCGCCACATTCCAAAAAGGAAGTTTGCATGCAGCTCTTCCAGTTCCTTCTGACCCTGGCTCCCATTGACTTACAATGGAATACTGTCAACCCTCTCTCTATAATAGCTGCTGTGAGCCTCGTCATTTTGGTCTTAAAATGTTTGTATTTACCCACTCTACATGATCCTAGTGTGTGTTTGTTTGTTTGTTTTTTTTACGATTTTGTTCAGTTCTTAATATAGAGCCTGACTTGGGCTGACTAGATTTTCAAAATAAAAAACTGGGACATCCCCTATTTGCGGTTGTTGGTAATAATAAAATTGTGAAACGAGTGCTTAATTAAAGAAAATTTTTCTGCACTCGGTTCATTCATGACTAAAACGTGAGTCAGCATAGTAACATTTTCTTTCTGTTTTGGTCATCAAATTGGTCAAAATTAGGAACATTTCTTGCATAAAACTGGGACAAATCAGTGGTTTGGGATAAATCTGCAGCTACAGGGGACACTGGGCTCAAAACTGGGACTGTCCCAGGTAAATAGGGATGTCTGGTCACCCTAGCCTGGCACCAAATTCGTGTCTGTAGCAACAGCTCTTTCTGGTTAGATTGCATTAAAATATAACTCAGATTAAAGTCTAACAGGCCTCAGACAGAGCAGAGCCTCTAGTTAGCAATACTCATCTTCCCTCAGCCTTATTTTCCCTCATTTCTATTTTTTTTTTTTCTTCTTATTCTTTTTAAAATTAGACCCTTCTCACATTTCCTTTATCTAATTGCATCAGAATTTATCCCCATTTCTCCCAATTTGGTCATCAATTGCACCCAACCTATTCTCCAGCAGCAGTCGACTACAGATGTAATGTAGCGGTCATGGTGCAAAGGACCCTAGGTTGAAATGACTCTGAATCATCCCTTTAAATGCGGCATAAAAATAAAAATGACTTGAATTACAGTTTCATATTGGGAAAAATCTGACAAATATGAAAAATTTTAGAAATGAAGGAACATAGGGCTGACCCCAAGACTTTGTGAGGGGTCCCTCCTTTCACTGGGCCCCAGGGAAACAGTGCCCTTTAACCCCCCAGTCTAACAACCCTGATGTACGAGGTCTCTGCCAATTAACCAACCAATAGTATACTTTTATAATACCTGTACGTATTTGGCGATGTGGAGGGGAATGCAGTCTGTAACGTCAATAATGAAGCATAGGCCCATGTTGGAGGTTGTATTGTGCAGGTCACACACCAGGTCCATGGCCCTGTCACTGCCTTTGGGCCCTAGCAAAGAGTTCAGCTCATGAGCCCTTTTCACTTCAAGAGGAGAACTATCTGTGACCGGGGTACTGAAAGACAAAAGCACATTTAAACTACCAGTATGATGATTTTAAAGGTCCTATATTACACTAAATTGATTTTTGTGTGCTTAAATGTTAGAATGTTGGTACCTCATCAAAAACATTGGACTTGGACTTTCTATTCGAGAGAGGAACCCAGCCTAAATATGCAAGATTTGTGTGTTAAACATGAGTGAAAGAAACAAAATACAACTCCAGTTCTGTTTGTGATGAGGACACAACACTATAACTTATTATCTTTATATAATATGTGACTTTTTACCTCAATGTAACATCAGTAAAACATCGGTTAAGGTCTGTGTCTATGTATCTCTTGCAGGCTTCGATGGCTGGTGGGTTGGCGAGAATGGGGCAGACGGAGACAGAGCCAATCTGATTTATATTCTGTTTCTGCATTTGTCGAACTATATACACGCCGGTCAGTTCATTTCCGTGTGTGCCGCCGGTGATGGCTAGACGGGAGAACTTTGGGTAGAAGACTTGGTCCATCTGGAAAAAATATAAGTGTTAATTGACAGATTTTGTAAAATGGTCATAGTTAGTGCCAGGAGAGTTGACCGGGCCCCCTCTCATGTGATGATGCTCCTTGCCCCGACCCGCCCAAATTTCTGTCGATGGGCCTGGTTAGTGTTGTCATGATACTAAAATTTCAAACTCGATTTCGATGCTAAGGAATAGACTCAATACTCAATACTGATTCTGATACCACGATGCTTTAAAAACAATCTTTATTCAGACAACAGGCTCTAGTCATGCTTACATCACAAACCAGGAAGACGTTTGGAAAGATGTGATTACAACTTCCGGTGTAGCTACTGACACTGGGCTCGCCTACCGACTGTGATAAAACCATTGATTCAGCAACCTTGAGCAGCGGTCTTCCAAACCTTCCAAATCTTTTCCATCTAATCATAGCTTCAATGTCACTCACAGGCAGCTCAAAACCAGCGAAAGGCTACAAGTTCTTTGTAGAAAAGTACTTGTTTGGCTACCAGGGTAAGTATTCGACAAATTGAGATGAATGCATTTTAAATTATTAATTTATTTATGTATTTATTTATTATTAAAATTATGAAAACTGAGGTATGGTTGTAATTGTTAATTACCTGAACATAACAGGACTCTACAATGGCATCTACATGAAAAAAATAGGGCCATTTTTTCATTTTTCCTAGATTTTGTCAGACTTACTACGGCAAACAAAAGTTGTCATCGCATGTTTCCAATTCCAAACGTCTTCCTGGTTTGTGACGTTTGTATGAATAGGACTTACAGAATGTGATTTTCAACATTAAATTAAATAAATTTGTGTGATCCCTCAGTGGTCCAGGTAGGTTCCATAGTGGTCCATGGGCGTATACTTCTGTCCTGTGAATGCGACTTTTTTAGTATTGATACCTGCTCAAATTAGTATCTAGTTTCGATAATAGTTTTAGCATAGATTAGTAACTGATTTTCAATACTTTTGACAATCCTTCTCAAAGTGGATGTGGCTGCAGGTTTTCATTCAGTGCTTGAGGCCACAGACAAAAGTGTAGTCATGTGCAACTAACCCATAGGCCCTAAGCAGCTTTAACCTATAGAACAGATATGCATAGGGCTTTCATGTGAACACTAGCTCTGCACCAAAGGTTTTATGAGCCAAGTCAAGACTACTGGAAATTAGAAACCAGCATCTTTGTTATAATCTGTTTTAATGACACTAATTACAGATGCTCATTAAAGGTCCAATATTACACAAAATTACTCTTGTGAGCTTTAAGACATGTTATTATGCTGTTACGTCATCAAAAAACATACCTGCAGTTGTATTTTGTTTCATTCATAGGTTTGAGTAATCTTATATAATTACTCTGTCTACATCTCCAAAGCTCAAAATGCTCTGTTCCATCTTGTGATGTATTGGTCGTTTTCAAGTGAACAGCTCCTTTTACCTTTTGCTCAGTAGAGATTTGGTAATTCGAGGGCTGAAATCATCCAAATAATTCTAGTGAAGGTGTATGGAGTTTAAAAACACAGTGGAGCACTTCCAGTACTACCACATGAGATCACAAGATGAACTGTTTTCTGTTTGAGAGAAGAACTAAATACTGATTTTGATGAAGAAACATTATAAGATCAGAAAATAGCATAATATTAGTCCTTTAAACTGGACACTTGTTTTAATGTGGGCTGCCAAATGAATGACTCATAAATGGTTTCAGAGCTTTATTTTTCACCCATATATCAGATATTACTATACTATACTATAAAGTTTCTCAATATGGCATTATGAGGTCTTAAGAGGCCACAATAATGATTGATAGCCCTGGTGAGTGATTCTCTTGCTCAACAGAAGATCTAATTATTCACCAAACAGCTTTAAAGCTGGGTTACCTGATTTCCAGGAATAAAGAAGAGAAAGCAGGGATTTAAATCAGTTTAATGTATTCATTTATTTGATAGGGACAGTGCGCACCATATTACACTATTTTCAGATCTATGTTATAATGTCATTTCCTCATCAAAAACAAACCTGGAGTTGTGTTTTGTTTTGTTTCATTCATACATGTTTAACACACAAATCCTGCATATTTAGGCTGAGTTCTCCACCTTGTGATGTCATATGGTAATACAAGAAGTGCTCCACTGTGTTTTTAAACTCCATACACCTTCACTAGAATCAGTTGGATGTTTTCAGATCTTGAATTGCCAACCTTGACTGAACTAATGGTAAAAGTGTTGTCCTAACAAGTTCAACCCTGACTCTGAGAGGATCAAATATGTTTTGCAGCTCATCAAAGCTGCTTTTTCAGTTCTGAAGGAAACTGTTAAGGACAAATTCTGTAATAGTTTACTGACGCCAGAGCTAACCACAAAAAAATTTCAACAGTGAACTGGAGGTGACGATAGAGTGAATGCAAATGTCCACAACAACTGTTAACTTGAAAACTACCAAACCATGACAGCAGAGCATTTGGGCTTTGGACAGACTAATAATAAAGGATTACTCGAGCATGTGTTAATAAAATAATACACAACACCAGATAACTAATGAGATAACAACATTCATAAAACATCACAAAACAGTGTAATACAGATCTGCACTCTTGCATGACTTAAAGCTCACAAGAATCCATTTTGTTTAACGTAGGACCTTGGAGAGAAGACACCAAACGTAAACAAAAGATCAGTCCACAGCCACGTTAATGTGTTTTTATCCAGACTAAGTTAGAACCTTGAATTGAGCCTTCTAAAGTACGCAGTCCACAACAAGAATTATATAACTTGTTACAACAAAAGACATACAATTATTCTTCCAGCGTCTTATTTAAAGGTACATTGTGTTACTTTTCTGGTGGAGGGTTTGTCAAATGCTTTTCTGCAAGGAGATGTTATTGTTTTGTCTGGAATGTTTCACAATATGGCAATAAACCTTTGTATCAGAATGCCTGTTGTTTTTCTAGGTATTTTTGAGCTATGAAACCACCTGTAATGTGTTTGAGCTGCGTAATGTCATACTGTGAAACATTCCAGGCAAAGTAATGACATATCCATAGAATCAAGCAGGTAATGGACTCTCAAACAAATGTTACACAGTGCACCTTTAACTCCTATCATTAGAATAGGTAATAAACATTAATAATCCAAAAGCATAAAAGACTGAGTGGTTCTTTTGCTAATGTATTGACTCTATTTCCACAGTGTTTGTCAAACCCAGCCACTTTTTCTCACTAGAACATACATTGCATAACATAAGAGCGCTAACTCCTTATAGAAACAGCTGATTTTATGCTTTTATAGTCACATTTGCTAAAACAAGACTTGAATGGAGTGAAAAACAACTCACCTCTCTTCAAGGCACTCTGAACTACGGTAGCCTTTGACCCTGCAAATGTCAACAAGATAGTTAGCAGAGACAAAATCACACTCTGAGAGGGCACACGAGTTGAATCACTCATTCAAAACACACTTCTTCAGCCTTCATTTTTATACCACTTCCTGTTCCCTGCCTTCCTCCAAACAATAAATTCAGCCTGCAAGCTCAAATTTCAACTTGTTTTTTCTTTTTTTTTTAATCCAGATTCCAGACTAACCCACAAGGAGCCGCCCTAGTGCTCTCTAGCTGCTGATAATTTGCAGTGACATCATGCTGGGGGGCGTTCTACATGTATATGTATTGGCAGAGTTGTCAGCAGTTACCAGGTGACACAATGCAGCAAACACGGACAGAAAAGTCTGAAAACTCAAGAAAAACACTAAATGGATTAAAACCACACATTTTCAGGAGCCTGTGATCTATACAATTGTTCATGATCCTGTTTAGGTGTTTGATTTTCAGCAAAAAAAAGTGAGAATGACTAATTGAAAAACTCTTGTGATTTTATGTGTGAGAGATTTGGTTTAACAGTACAAATCATCTCACCTGTTGTAGTTCCAAACAAATCAGCTCTTTCTGGTCAAACTTGAATGAAAGAGTGGTGCTTTCAGTTAGCATCTCACCCCCAGGGAAGATTGATGACGTCAATCGCGAAGTATCAATTGTATCAAATTACACAAACAGAGATATACTGCAAATACTGTCATACTCCTAATTCAAGATTAAAACTGAGCCTGCGACACTGGAAAAACCATGTCCTATTATTTATATTATGGACAAGAAAACTATTGTATTTAAGTATTTATTAATGTGTGTGTGTGTGTGTGTGTGTATATATATATATATATATATATATATATATATATATATATATATATATATTATATATATTTATTTAAAGGCACAATATTATGCTAAATTGACTTTGTTAGAATGTTGTTACCTCCTCAAACTAGAGTTGTGAGTAACTCTTTATTACTAAATATTACAGTACAGTGTTACAGGTACTAATGTTGATGGTCATATTTAAGTAGGTATTATCTTTCTGCACAGGTTTTGCAGAAAGATGCTTAAGTAAATACATTACCCAAATTAGCAATGTGTAGCTCATGTTAAACTGCACAGGTAAACAGGTTATCACGGTCAATCAATGATTAGTTTTAAAATGTTGTAAGACTTCTTACCTAATCGTCTCTTGCTTGGTGAAGTTTTTGATTCCTGGCAGGACATGTGCAGCACATGTGACACAGACTTAAAGGTGTACTGCAGGGGTGGGCAATTATTTTTTTCCATGGGGCCACATAAGAAAGTATTGTAGAGAGGTGGGCCAAAATGCTACTCAATTCTGCATAATATTAATTGTATTTCTTTATAAAAAGCAGTATATAGCAGTGTTTAGACAGGCTGGTAAGACTGGTAAGAGTTAATGTTCTGACTAAGTAATGAAAAAGTGAGGTTGCCTTACAGAAAATGTGATTTAAAAACACCTCTAAAATCAAACCAATGCACAGTTAGTCCATGCATGAGATAAAATTATAAAATATGTATATTTTGTAATTCCAAATTAGCTTAAACGGGCCAGTCAGAATCACCCAAAAGTCCATATGTGACGCCAGAGCAAGTTTCTGGTGAAGGATCCGCCATCTGCTTCTCTTCATGGAAATATTATTGCTTTGTCTAGAACGGTGTGGCATTAAACTTATTTTTCTATTGAGACAAGCCCACAATACCTCCAAGCCAAGTTACAGGTCAGATCTGTGGAGAGGCCAGCTCACTCACAGTAGGAATGCATATTTTTTGTAGTATTTTTGAGCAGTAAAACATCTGTAATTGAATAAATGCAACATAGATGAGCTTAATGCCATATTGTGAAACCTTTCAGGCAAATCAAAAATATCTCCAGGAAACAAGTTTGTATTGGAAACCCCTACCAGGAAAGTTACACAGTGCAGCTTTAAATACTGGTAATTACATAAATGCTACCTATAGCAACCATACTATAAACAATGTCCAAAGCTCACACAATAGTTATTATTTAATAAATACAAATAAAAAACACATTTATTCTGTTACATGTTGAAATACAGATTATGTGTTTTAAATTGATGAAATGTTGTGTACTGCTGACATCGGGATTTCCTTTTAGATCTGATCTCTCTACTGATTATAAAAACATGAAAATCTGCCGCTTCTAAGTTGAAACTACACAAAACAAGCAATAAAACACAGTAGGTAATTCGTTAGATTCTATATACAGTTAAAGATACTGTAAGCTCAAAGGGCATATATTACGATATTTTCTGCTGTTGTTTCCTCATCATAAAACATACTGTACCTGGAGCTGTGTTTGACCACTAAGATTGGAAGCCTATTGCAATATTTATCATCTTCTATCTCAGATTTTCTTCCCGTGTCTGCTTCATAGGTTTACTATTTAACACAAAGAGGTCAACCTACAGAAATGCACAATCTGGAGCAGTTATACATTGTCTGATGTAGAAGATTATAATTAAATTAAACATTTGCTAACAACAACAACAAAAACAAGGTAGTGCCTGCTGAGCCTTCACACACATTAACGTTTGGACTGGGTCTCTGACTGACTCACACAGACCAAATGCATTTAAAGACATATGATAAGAATAATTTCCTCACAACATGAATTCACAAACATTTTACTCACATTAGTGTCCCAAGAGCAATAATGATCCTGTTACCAACACACCAACTTTTTCAGTTTTTTGATAGTGTTTCCTGGGTAAATAAGGTCTGTATTAACTCAAAAAAAGCTCAATTTGAACCAAAGATATCTTTCTATCTTGTAGACACCTTTTAATTCCAGTCTAGATACGCAATGTTCATTTTCTTTTATCTGTTAGGTTTTCTTTATCTGTTACATCACTGAATTTCAGAGGAAATCTCCTTAATTCCACTTCTAGGTCCAATGGAGTTTGTACCTCATTCACAACAAAGACCTTAACCTGCACATAGTTTTCAATAGGGATGTAACAATATCCAAATCTCTCGGTATGATATTATCTTGACATGCATCTCACGGTACAATATTTATTGAGATATTTTGGAGAGGCTGGTATAATTGTAGATGCGACAATTTTTTTGCTTTTAAAATACCTTGACAAGATTTTGGTGTGAATTATTTCTGTCATAATCCAAAGAATTCAAGTAAAAAACATATTTCTTCATGTTGTCTGCACTGAAATGAATCATGGGATATGTAGTTCCCTATGTTCTTAAGCTGTTGTTACTATAAAACTATGCAACTAAGCAAAGGAACTTGTGATGTGATATATTGTGACAGCTCACGATATTATTGTGAGACTTTTGACGATATTTTGGTTATTGTTTCATCTCTAGTTTTCAATTATTCTGTATAAAATGCTTCTCTGTGCAACAAATAGGGTAACTGTTTTTTAGACATATTATTTTTTTATCATAAATCTAGGCCTCTAAAACTCTTAAAGGTACACTATGTAACTTTTTAAATTGAGGGTCTACCACTTCCTTTTCTCTAGAGTTCCTATTGTTTTCACAGTCCCGCAGTGTTATCTTGTATTTATTCAGTCACATGTGTTTGTGACGCCAGCATGTACCTTGTAAATTCTGCAGGCTTCACTTACACTTACAGTGAGCAAGGTTTCCAGTTTCAGTTCCACACTGTGAAACCTCTGCCACCTGTTTGTCACATCTTATGTAACAGCAAGTTGCATGAACCCTCCACCAGAAAAGTTACACAGTGTTGCCTGTACCTTTAAGAATGTTTTTAATTTGTCAGGAGGTCCAGGTAAAGTCCTTATTTCTACTGTTACTGTTGTTTCTGTCTCGCGTAGAGCTCACAGCTTTGGGGCGTCCTGTCGCAGACCTTTGGCGTTTCACTTTAACGTTTAGCAAGTGTGAAGAAACATGAATTAATAAAATGTTAAAACTTCAACATCTCCATTATCATACCTGGCTTCTGCATACAGCCTCCGTCTTTCCTCGCGTTTTTCTTCCACTCAAATGTCGCTCAAGTGCAGCGCGCTAAGCTCCCTGTGGACCTGTAATGCCGTAAAACCTGTCCATTATTGGCTTTACGCTCCTCACGTGTTGCGTCCCTAGGGGGTGCTCTCACTCTATGTGTCAGACCTTGTGGAGCTCAGCCGCAGGACTGACCTCTGACCTTGACCTTTAGCCTGCTTTTTTGCCCTTTGCACGTGTACAGCTTTAATGCCATGTAACTCAGACATAACACCTTCATTTATTTGTGTCCACCATAGAGGTTTAGGTCAGCTTCCTGTTTATAGCCGTCCTGATATTGTGAGGACTGATTTTGTTCAAACTATATAATTTTTTGTTTTTGTTTTGAACTGTTCAAGATTTTCTTCCCTCTGAAACCCATGGATAGGCTGAATAACCCCATGAACCAAATGTTCATATTTATCACCATCCACTATCAAAAAAAAAGAAAGCTCTCCATGCCCCTTTGACCGGCCCCCTAGACTGCAGCATCTGCCTCCCACCACTTGAACTGGCCCTATGAGGCAATTCTGAAAAGCTGTCATGGCCTTTTTTTTATTTTTATTTTTTATTTACTTTTTGACAAATAATAACACGTCTGCATCCTGTATTCTGTTGATTTTTTCAATTTAAAAAAATATATTTATAATACATACTTATATTTATATTTAAATTATTATATGATGTATTTACATTTGACGCAGAATTTTCATCACCTGACAAGCTCGAGATCAGACAGTGACAGTCAGCGCAGGTGCAGAGTTCTGTTAGGATATATATCTGACTGCAATTTTGCTACTGGATCGTAAAAACAGAGAATAAAACTGGTTTCAATTACTTTTCTTAAAACAACATTATTTACATAATAAACATGTGGTAGTGTATCTTTCGTTTTTTAGTTTAGTAAAATTGGCATAAAATGAAAAATCCCTTAAAGGCACAATATGTAACTTTTTCTGGCAGAGGATCCCCATATCCTTGTCTCCATGGATGTTATTCCTTTGTCTGGAAAATTCCACTGTACTTTTATAGGCATCAGTCTCCATGCAGAAAATAAGATGGCATCATTAGGCCAAGTTACAAGTCATATCTGTGGAGAAGCAAGCCCGCTCACTTATAATGGATGGTTTTAAAGGTGTTTAGTTTGCCACCAAAAAATGCAATGCAATAATGTCTCTATTCGGCGGA